GACACCACAACTCAGATACTGACTGATGGGTACTTCTCAGCTGCCTTTAGAGGCAGCACTTCAAAGTAAATGTATTTGGAGAAGCATCATTTGGAGTGCTGTTGTAGGATATAAATGGAATTGAAGTACCTGGTCCATTTACTGTGATATTCTGCATTTGTCCATGTGGTTGTTTGGCGGGATCAATTTTGGGATGCATTGAAGAGGAGTTCTTCTTCTGCATGTACCTTCTGCCCCTTCATTTTTTATTTTTTTTTTTGTACAGTTAGGTATTTTGAGCTTATTGCAGTTAACAGATCTGGAAACAGACCCCTTGCAGCAGTCTGGCAAAATCACAGCCACTGCTTGCTTCCATCAGTGTGTCGTTCTGACACTGGCTCTTGACTTTTTATGCCTGTTGAAGACTTCACAGAGACCATGTACGTGGAGTCTAGGCTAACATAAGAATTAAGCTTTTCAGCTTCAGAATTTTACATAGTGGGTATCTCATGCATGAGAGGTTGAAGATAGAGGTATGAAGAATACAGATTTAGTAGCTTAACACGTTTCTTTTTTAGAAAATTTTGATTTTGTGTATATGATAATGATGTGAGGAGCTAGTGTAATTACAGTAACTGCCTATAATGATAGCCTGAGGTTCTAGAAATAGTTTTAGTGACTTAAAAATAAAACCTGTTATCAGTGTTTGTCATTCATCAAAGTATTTGTCACTGTTCTTTGTTAAAGCAGTGGAAAATTCTGAAGAACATATAATACTTCATAACGCAGTAGACTAAGGAAAGGTAAAGATTAATTTAGAAGGATTTCTGTTGTCACAATAATACATGCAAGATAACAGCCTGTCATTTTTACTTAATATTTCTCTTAAAAGCCTAGTTCTTACATATCAAAGAACACAATTTATTAAATTTATATTTTTGTAATTAAATTCCTCTAGGGAATACTATCACTTGCTATAATAACTATTCTGATATGCATTGTGGAACAACAGCGATTAAGTCTTTTCTTAACTAATTTTGACAGATTATCAGAAAAAACACATGGTCTGCAGTTAAGAAATGAAATCCTTTCAGTAGGTTTACAAACAGCTTTTTAAAGACTGTTCTGTCACTGCTAATACTCTCCCATAAGCAATAGCACAACTTATATTTTAAGTAGAGTAAGAACAAGAAATACTTTGTGAGGGTTTTACTTGTATCAATGTTTTCCACTTCTAGTCTGCTACTGAGTTTTCTGTATATAACTTTGTTTTGTTGAACTACTGATTCAGTTCCTACAAACTCATTTCACAGGAAAGTGAAAATTCTTGTGGATTTTTTGAAAGGGGAGAACAGGGAAAGGAGTGGCTTTACGAATATGTATGCAGTGAGGAGGAAGATTTTGCGCTTAGGAAAGGACTGTTTTGGGGTTGCATAACATTACCTCATTTTATGTGATGTTGGCATATATTAATATCATATTGTAGATTTCAGATTTAAAAAAACAACCTCTTTAAAGCATTGAGTTTTTTTCTATGAAGGTTTTTTTTTCTTTATGCAGGTATGGGGAAGTGAAATATTTGGAATAAAGTGCTGTGCACAATAATTGGATTATGCTAAAAGTTCAAGTGCTTCACAAAATGTGCTATACTTACTGAGGTAGCTGAAACTTCTTTGCAGATAACATGAGGAATCTGTTTTGCCATGAAAGAGCTGCCTACAAAAGCCTGCTTTCTGTAAGCACTGGCTCAGGCAGTCCCAGGCTACCTCTTCAGATGCACAAAACTGGTCTGTTTTTTTTTTTATAGATGCTTCTGTTCTAGTATTTTTGGCCAGAATGGCTTGATACAGGAGAAGAGTATGGTACCCTGCTTTGAACTGGTAAATTGTTTTCAGGCAGTTAGTTGAGATTTGTGTGCAAGGAAGACTTGCAAAAATCTGGGTTGAGTATATCTGTAGTCCTTTCAATCTCTTCCCAACAATAGATTGTATTTTCCACATTTATGTATGGATCCATTTGTGTGTATGTGAAGGAAGAATGCTTGAGTTGTAGAAATTGCCAGAGCATTATATGGCAACTTCCACTTCTGTTGGACTTAAATTATGTTGTGGATGGAGTATATTCTAGTCTTCTGGTGGCAGAAAGATGGGTTTCTGAAAGAAAAATCTGCATTTTTCAGATGATGTGCTGTGCTTGGCAAAGTGTTAAATAAGCAAGTATTGCCTCACCACCAAGAAGACCCTGACCTTTTGTTTCCCTCCTCCAAACTAAGTTTGAATCAGTTTAATCCTCAGTCCAGTTTTCAACAAACTGAGCGAGACGCAGTGCAGCCTGTGTGCTGACATGCTAGTAGGTCCTTCAGATGGTCATAGCTGCACAGAACTTCAGTTTTTAAGAGGGCTGTAACATTTCCAATGTTGTTTAAAATCTACATAGTTTAAGACGAAGCCTTAATCACTGAAGAGAGGGAATCTCAGTACGTGAACTTTTATGTTGGAAATGTTACTCTATAAATTGCTAAAATCAATGCAGTTATCTGAAATTAATCACTTCAGAAAAAAATATAATTGAATTTCTGAAATTTGGAAGACCTGCTTTTTCTATTAGGAAAGTAAAGAAATAGCAAATAAAATTATATTTCAAATTTCAAACATTTACCACATTCAAGGTTATTCTGTAGTTATAGCAGATTCAGCATGACAAATTCCTCTTGGATTTAACTAATCGTCAGTTGTTCTGGGAAACATAAAAGCCCTAAAAATATTTTTTAGGTTAAATAAAAATCAGACAGAAATCTTTTCTGATTGTAGAAAACTGGCAAAAGCACACTTTGAAGGACAAGGTTCAGAACCCTTGTTTTATATTTGCGTAAATTTAACAATTTTGAAGTCTTTTCATCCTCATGCCTTTGAGAGTTTGAAAACATTTTGTGAAATCACTTGTTCAACTCTAATTTACTCTTGGTGTGGAATCCTTTCATTGCTTGCTAACTCTTAACAAAATTAATCTTGCTTGCACAGAGGAGACAGTAAATTGAATATGATTGAGTATTCAGGAAGAGTATCAGGAGTCTTGAGGAGCTGGAAGCTTTGAGTGTTGCCTTTTTGCCATAGCAATCAAAGTTGCAGCCCCAACTTATATTTATTGCCAACTTTAAATGACATGACATAGATTGTTACTTTTAATTACAGTGTTGGATAACTGTTATTGATGATATTAACTCACAGATCAAGACAAATAGGCACATGACCCTGCTCCTGAATGTTGTTTTTGGCTGCTAGGCGGTGTTCTTAGATCCAACAGATCTGGCTGCCACCTGCTTCTGGCATGTGGAGTCCTGGCACAAAAAGAAGCTGTGGTGTTGCAGAGTGCTGAAGGTTTATGTTTGCATGCTCTTTCCCTTTCCCATGACCTGCTTTTAGTGGGAGAACTCTGTTGCTGGCCCATAAGGTCACAGATGTATGTGATTTAGCTTCCAATAAAATATTGTTTTCAAGGGTGTTGGGGAAATTCAAGTCCTTAATCTGTTGTGTTTGCAAATTACTGTGCTTAGTAAAAATGTTACAACCTCTGTAGGTTCAATGAGTTGGAAGAGCATTTTCAATCTTGTATGTAGTCCTATGTTCTGATAAACATCAGTGAAAAAGTTAATGCAGGAAGGAAGTGAAAAAGTGGATAAATTAAATGTTTGCTTGAGCAAACTGCATTGCCTAACTAGAGAGAAATTAGTGACATCAAAAGTGAAGTGGTACACTTTTGATCCAGGTACTATTACTACAGAAGCCTTGACTTTTGAAACATGTAATAGAAATTAACATCTTTTCCAGACATTAGCAATTTTTTTCATTGCTGCTCTTTGCCTTTGCTTTTGTGCTGAAGTTGTGTGTGTATATACAGCATCTAATGTAAAGGATCTAAAGCTGTTCTTTGCATAAATAGTTATTAACAGGCTTGTGAAGTGATGCATGGATTTGGCAAGAAGGGAGCCCAATTGGGAGAAAACAAGAACAAAAAAAATAAAATCTGTAAAGCTAAGGATTAGAGCTGACAGAACAAATTTCCATTGAATAATTATTTTACCTTATTACTGAAACACTTCTGAAATCCCAAGTTTGGTAGTCTAAGTAGTTTGGCAATTTCTTTCAATATTGGACCCTGTCAGATTAAAATGGTTTATAGAGTTTACAGTTTCCAGAAAGTTTCTAGAAATTTCAAGCTAGTATTTCTGTTGTATAGAAAATCAGATACTTTAGAAGCTTCAATTCCTATAGACACTATATCCTTATCAATTTTGAAGAAATAGTAAAAAATAAGCAGGACCCAAGAGGACAGAAATAACCAAGTTTTCAAATACTAATATTTATGCTGGAGCTATGGTCAAAGAAGAGTTCTCTGCTGGTGCAAACAGTCATTAGCTTTTGGGTTTTCTTCAGGTACTTCTTTCCAGCAGAAGAGAAAACCTATACGGTGGGAAATTAAAAAGTGGTTTAAGTAAAGCAATAGCCCCAAATTTAAAAATTATTTTAAATTACCTTTATAATTGTTTACGTTTGGGTTTAGATTTGCTCTTTTGGAGATACTTTGTGTTACATGTAAACTTAACATTTCTCATGCTTTATTTTCTGCTTTTGTCTACTCGAAACCTGTTAAATCTGCATAAGGCTACTTCTAAAACCCTTTGTTCTTTAGAAGTTGTAATTCAAATAGATTTCAAGGGGAGATGTATAGATTGCAACATAGGAGTATGATAAGTTTAAAATGACAGCAGTTGAGTAAATACTTTCAATACAATAATTTTCAAAGGTGGCTCTGTGATTTATTTTTTTTTAATCTGAACAACTTAATAATTTTAGAGTAACTTGGTTTCTATTTCTTGTTTACTCAAAGTTTTTACATTATGCATCTTTTACTTTGTCATGTGCTGGCTTTGCTACGTTTCTCTTTCTTATTTCTTGTCCTACTTCTTCCTCTTTGCCTCATGACTTTTCTGTAATTCCTTTTTTGGTGGCTTTCTCTTTCAGGATAACGTTTTGTCATCTGCCTTTCCAAAGTAAATGGCTGTATGTGGGCACCGAAAGAGGAAACATTCACATTGTCAATGTGGAATCATTTACTCTCTCAGGCTATGTCATCATGTGGAATAAAGCCATTGAACTGTGAGTGAAATCAAGTCTGTCTGTTGAGGGGAGGGAACAGAAGTGTCCTAGACATTATTAACATCAGTTGCACTGCACCAATTACATGATCAAAGTATATAAATAGTCATATAAATACTTTTTATTCTCACAAATGTGAGTGTTAATATGTATGTTTCTGCCTATAACACTATTTTATCATAGTGCCTGGAATAGACACAAAAGTAGACAATATAAAAATAGATGTAAAAATCATTATCTGTGATAAAGAACTAGAAAAATAATATATGTTAAAATATGATGTGGCTGGTACTTGGGCAGGCTGTCGCTTCCACAGTTTTGGGGTCAAAGCCCAAAGTATAAAGATATGCACTGTAAGAGGGCTGATGCATGCCAAGTATAAAATTACTGGCTGAATATGTAAATTTAGGTAATGCTATTCCAGGAGCAAAGCATATTTTTTACAGCTATTATCATGGCTCCTGCAAAAAGTGTTTTGTGGGTGAAAACATATATGTGTGCTGTTATTTTGGTCCCAGAATGTTTTATCTATCTTCAAAACATATATGAAGTCCATCACTTGCCAAAGGTTGTTGAAACAAACAGCTCTTCATTAGTCCATCTTCTTTAATACAAGAAGTCAACATAGTCTTAACTCTGTGTTAACACCACCCAGCTCAGTCAGTTTATGAATAACAGCAAGACCTGTTTTCCAGCATAAAAATAAAGATCTTATCCAACGGTGTCAATTCTGTAACAACAAATGTTAAGATAGATGTTGTAAAGCTAATGGCAATTTTTTCTGTGTGGCAGTAAATAAGTCTTCCCTTCTTATAAAACGACAGAAATTAAGTGCCTAAAAATAGACAAAGTATTTATGGGCTTGAAGATAAAAGTTAAAGTGACTCCATGCTGAAATGCCAACAGCTTGCTTACATGGAGCCTGTATCTGCAGAATCTGTATTACTTGCAGTCATTTTGAGATGAAGTTTTGGGCATTTATTTTTTTAATTACATGGAAATATTTCTTGTTTAGGTCATCCAAATCTCACCCAGGACCTATTGTCCACATTAGTGACAATCCAATGGATGAAGGAAAGGTAGGATATGTTTAAAGACTGTTAAATACGTTATTTTCCAAGACAGATGCTTCTGGCAAAAAGATTTTTTGGGAAGTGCCTTGTTTAATTTCTCTGTAACTTTCTTTAACAACTAATGGCCTTGGTGTTCCTTTAGCCTGTTATTAATTGTGATTAACATCTGGAGAAAGCTTATATTACGTAGTTTCTTTATAGACAATGAGCCATTACCTGGAACTTCAGGAAGGATAGTGTGTTCTTCCAGGAAATCTAAGCAGAACAAATTCTAGTGAGGAAAATGCACAATTAAAAGTTCTTTTCCATCTCCCTCCTATTTTTACTCAAGAGGGAAGACACTTAAAGTTTAACATTGAAGTTTCTGGAATACAAAGGTGTTTCCAGGGACTCTTCAGAAGAAAGCATTTTTTCTTTCTAATTTTGTATGAATGTTAGTTGCATTAACTGGAAGTTTAGGAGAATGACAAGAAGTACGAAGTAAACATCTCTAACATTGAGGTCTTCACCTCTTCTCGCTAATTTTTGTCTAAGTACTTGTAGTCACTACATATAGTATTGTGCTGCACCTCTTTGGGGCAAGAACTGCAGGCATTGCAAATGGTGTTACTTTGCTTATTCTTATAAAGATTTAATGTATCTGCTTATTGCAGCTTCTGATTGGCTTTGAGTCTGGAACGGTGGTATTATGGGATCTGAAGTCAAAGAAGGCAGATTACAGATACACACATGATGAGGTAACGTTTTTTTATCTGCATGACTTACTATATCATTCGCTATTCTAATAGCAACTTGCTTTAAGTTTTTTATTTCTTCTCCTGCTTCTGTTATCAGTGCATCAATAAACTGAAACTGATTGAATTTGAAATTGCAAGTACTTGAACTTATCTCTAGAAGAGCCATAGAGTTTGAATAATAGAAACCTCAGGCCACCTAAGTGTTCACTGAGTTGGAGTTTGTGAAGGAATGAATGGTGGCATGGATTGGATTTCTTTACTAACTTTGGCGGTGAGGAGGTGGAAGCTTTCAGACACATTGTCTGTTATTGAGTAATGTGATGTTCACCTGTGTTAAGTGCTCGAGTATTAAGTTGAAGCAAGATGGTATAGCGATTTCTGTAATTTGGAATCTCTCATATGTTCTGGAAGTGGGTGGGAGAAACCACTATGTAGTCTTAGTGACTCAGTAGAATTAAAACTGGGAGAGGTTTAAAAAAAAATAAATCACAATAGCATTGAATGACACTATTTCTTTAAAACTTGATTCTTGAGAGGAAGTAGGCTTTTTGAAAGACTGAGATTAAGAAAAACCACTCAGTGTAGTATGTTAACTGATGTATTTTATTTCAAATAACATAAAATTAGTCTCAACTGATTGTAAAAAGTCTATACCGAATAGCATTGAATGACACTATTTCTTTAAAACTTGATTCTTGAGAGGAAGTAGGCTTTTTGAAAGACTGAGATTAAGAAAAACCACTCAGTGTAGTATGTTAACTGATGTATTTTATTTCAAATAACATAAAATTAGTCTCAACTGATTGTAAAAAGTCTATACCGTTGTTCATTACCAGCTAGGCCTGTTTCTTGTATCACAGTGAGTATGTTTTCATTAGCTCTGCACTGAGCTTTTCCCAAGATAGTATTTGGGATTTTCTGGTGGTGGTTCTGGCTCAGTACTCGTGCTTGTGTGTCTGTTAGCTCTACCAATGACGTCTTTTTGAAGGGGGGAGTCTCGGAAGAAGTCTACGCCTTAGGTCATCAGAGCTGTATTAGAGCATCAGAGCAGAATGAGCTTTCTTTGTTCATAAATGTCTGTATAAGCCTCAAAATATGTCATCTGAAGAGCAGTTTTCTATCTTCCAGTTTCATTGTATACACCTAATTAATTCTCTCTGTTTCTTTGTTTCATAAACTTACTTGTATCTCCATCATGCTTTTCTAGTCTTAATCGGGTTTTCCCTATACCTCTTATTCTACTTGCTCTTCTCTACTTTTTTTTAGTAGTTCTATTTTATCTTTGTTTTATAAAGAGAAACACAGCAACAATATAATATATTGAAGATGTGGGCATGCTGGATTTATGATGTGGACTAATTATGTTTGGTCTTGTTTTCTTTGTCTTTTGGTCTTGATTCTGCATTATCCTTTTAATGCTGAAAGCATTAAGCAGATACTTCCTTGGAACAGCCTACTGAAAACCAGAGTCTCATTCTTCAGTGTTGATTGTTGGCTCAATGTCCACTGCATTTATGCATAGCTTCACATTTACTTAGATAATAAGTCTTTCTGTAGTTTTTCACTGAAATCTTGATTTCTGCCTTAAATACGCTTTGGTACTGTCAGCAGACTTGTCACCTTAATATGCTTGTTCTAATTTTCTGGGTTAGTAATGAATAAACTGAGCAGCACAGATCCCTGAGGGTCTCTACCAATTACCTTCATCCTTGAACTAATCAATTACTGCCAGCCTGTTTTTATTCTAGCTTCCTTTTACTTCCCGATACCTTAACCAATTACTCATCTGTTCAAGTATCTCTGGCCTGTTTGGTTTTAGTTTCCTTTGAGAGATGTTGTCTCATTCTTGTTGGAATACTGAAAATTGTGTAGACAGTTTTATTGGTGTTTCAATTAGCCATATGCTTGTTAACATTTAGGAGGTTGGTTGGATATGATTTCCTTGTACAAAAAGCATGTTGGCTTCTCTTACCTGGTATATTATACTCATCTGTATGTTGATTAACTCTGTTCTTAAAAAGAGTTTTGTTACAGCTTCTAGAAACTTACCCAGGGTAGACACAATGCTACTTATTCTTTTTTTCTTTGGATTTTTCTGGTCCGTTAGTTTAAAACTGACTGTACTTCTTCCTGAACCAACCCTGATTTGAGAGATTGCAAACAGCAGTGAATAGCTGTTTCATCTTTGATTTCCTTTAGGATTTATAAGTGAATGCATGTAGCTGTTCAAGTTGTTTTTTGATTGCAGAAGAGGTAATAAAATACCTCAGGTAAGATCCTTTGGTAAAGAGATGTTGTTATCATAAGTTGGGAATGGATTGGAAGGGGAGAGAAAAATGAAAATCTATGGATTAATTTCGCTATTCTCATTAGTGAAAATTAATGTACAGTTAAGTTGCTTAAAAAAAAAAACAAGGAACTATTTCTCCAATGGTCAAGTTATTTAGATCTAATCTTCCAAGGAGGAAGGCAGAACAGAATAATATCCCTCTTTTTTTATTTGGATTTGATACAGTATAGGCAGTTTCAAATTCTTCTGTATTCTGGCCTGGATGACATCGAAATAAAATGATTAATTTTGTCTAACAGAATTGAAAAATACGTGTTTCTTGAAAGGTGCCATCATAGAGAGTGCTGTAATTGTTTCTGGACCGATGGCCTTGAGAGAAGATCTTATTAGATACCGTAAAGATAATGAACAGAAAGCTGCAGGAAGTGAATGATTATATGTATGCTATATATATCTCTCCATTTTTTAGTCCAAGTCAGGTGAGATGGGGCTTCTCCTGTATCTTACTTCAATTTTATTCTTCAGTGCCTCTCAGTTTGGCATTTAGCTTCAAAAATGAAGAATCTCCCTCAGTTTGCCAGTGATAGGAATATTCAGTTCCATAATGTTATCTTTCTAATCATATGCTGATTTCTAATCAGTGCTGACTAACTAGCGGCGTATATAAATATACTGTTCTTGCTGGTTTTCAGCTAGCACAGTTTCAAGTAAGTGAATGTACATGTTAAGAAATCCAATAGAAATAGTTTTTTGTATTGCATTTTTCAATACTAAAATGATATTGCCAAATAATGAAGACTTTGCTGGTTTTTATGAGCAGCTTCCTTAACAGAAAAGAGAAAAGAATTATCACCTGCTTAATGCTGAAGGAGGTTACTGTGGAAAGGTTGGTAACTTTGAGTCTCAGACAAGTAACACCATAACTGCTACTGTGAAAAAATGTTGACTGGCATTGTTGGAATTCTGATAATAAGGTAAACTGTTCATTCTAGTTGAATATCTTAGCAATTCAAATAGTTAACCAAAAATAAAATGTCTCTGTCTCTCTCTATAGTAAGCAAATAATTTTTTTCAGTTGCAGGCTAGTACAGTTGTGTAGATTTAAAAGTAGGATGGGAAAATCAGAAACCAGGGAAATTGACTGAACTGAGCAAGACACAGGGAGGGTACAGCTAACCAAGGTTTTGGGTAAGTGGAGAGTAACTAGTAGATAGTTCTAGGTAGAAATAATTTGTGTGTCCATTCTAAATTTGAGTCCACCTTGATTTTTTTTTTTTCTTTTTTCCACATTTGAGACTCATACTGGTTTTGTTCTCTCAATGTGTAATACTGACTTGAGAGTTGAAAAACTTTGGTCAAGAAGACGCAGCACAATCAGATTTTTAAGATATGTAATAGAAATAACCAAAGCGTTTTTATAAGGATGAAACCAGGATTTAAGACAATTCAGAACTTTTAGAGTTACGTTTGCTTCTGAATTTTTTTCTGGAATATCCTTTCTCATTGACTGGAGCACTAAGACATCTGCTCCCTTTATTATAAAGGAGCCTAAAAAATTGGTGGCCATATTAATTCCTTATTTAGCTCGTTCTTTTATCCCCAGTAACAAATAATTTGGCTGACATATCATAATTATTAAAGTATTGTAATGTTTTGCCAAGACCTTTATTAACTAGCTTAGTCTAATCTAAGATTGTGTTATTGCCCAAAAAGGCAGTCTTATCTTAACCACCCCAGCAACAGCTTTCCGTAAGGAGTTGTGGCTGCATGACAATACAGCAAGTCACTTCATAATTAACTCTTTTCCCCTCTTACTCCTACACCCAAGAAAAGTATCAGTTGGAAAGACCCATTGCACATGAAAACTTAAGATTTAAGGAAAATCTTCAGACTTTCTGCCAATGCAGTCGTTTCCTTCCTCAAGAGAGCACACACACAGTCTAGCAGCGGTGTAGTAATGCCTTATCTCATGAGATCTCCTCTGCTTCTGATAAGTGTGAGACAGAGCAGAGAAAGCTCCCTGCTGTTTGATTTCCTGGTAGCAAACCTTGTAAATTTGAATACTTCTGTGCACAGAATCTTTCTAGTGCTTGTTTCTTGTTGATTTCCTGGCTTTGGCAGAGGCTTCTTTCACATGTTGACTGTAAGGGCTATATTCCATCCATGAACGTGTGCCACCTCTTATCTCACAGAGGGCAATACATGTGACGTTCTGCCCTGTAGCAGGAGCAGGATTTTAAACCTCTCCTTGTTCTTGATGAGATCTCTTCTGAGTGTGGAGTTGACAATTAGTAAGAAGAGAGCAACTTAGTCCGATCTTGTCATGTGTGAGATCTGGTGCAGAGCTGCTCATCAGACACAGGAAATGCTGTCTGGTCCTCTGTTCTTCCTCCCTTACTGTGCCGTCCCAGACTGCTCAAGTGGAGAGTTGCAGAGGGATCTTGTTTGGTGAATCAGGCCTGTTCATTAGCACCAGGGGAAGGTTATGTGGCTCTAACCCTATTTAAAACAAGTAATTCTTCTGATACTGGTTAACTGGGTAGTCCCATCAGTTTCATAAAATTCCATCATCACCAGTCCTTGCAAAGGTGATGACTGATTCTGTGCCTATCAAAAACTGTAGTTCTCTACCTGGGGTGTGAGCCTTGTTGCTGCTGGGATTTACAGATCTGACATCAGCAGAGCTTGGCAGTACAGCACAGCTGCAGTTCTGCATGATGTCAAGGCACAAAACATAGCCATCAGGACTCTGGAGCTGGATACTCTCCTACTGTGCAGGCCTTTTCCTGTAACAGTGCTGTGAAACACCTCTGTTTGAGTGATGATGCCTGTTAATGGGTGACTAGGCTTCAGCAGGCATCGTGAACATGATGGCCAGACACATTGATATCATAGAGACTGCTGGAAATTTTGCCATTGAATTTGTCTCCTCCTCTCTCACCCCTTTGTATTTGACATTGGTCTTGAAACATGCAACTTGAGGGGCTCTGCAGTCTACCACCATCATTTGATGCACTCTTTTGCCTCAAAACTTCAGGTGTGTCAAGGGGTCCCAATGCTGTGATCTTCCTCTGCTAAGCAACAACAAGGGTCAAACTCCCTGCATGATCAGAGGTTTATGAAAAGATACTGATGTGATTTCTTCAGGGAAGAATCTGAATCCTGTTTTTTTGTTGTTGTTGCTTCCTGCTTGCTTTCATTCCAAGTTACTTCACCTTTAGGAGGCTTTTTTGAAGAGAATTCCCATGTTGTGGTGGGGAAGTCTCACTTATTGCCTTGGAACCTAGATCTGTGCAACACTATCCATGCTTTCTTCTTGTCTAAGCATGTGTGCCTGCTCTAATAGTTGCAGCACAAGAACACTAGGAGGACTCATCCCAAGGACAGGAATGCTTATAGACTGGGCAACACCACCCCTGAAACCTTTCTAATCGTATTTCTGCTTAACCATGGCTGGGGGGGGCAGCTCGAGGTCATGATTAGTATTAGTGCTGATTGCTGGCATATTCTTTCCTCTGCAACATTCTAATTTGTAACAGGAATTTAATTAGAACTCGATGTTGATTTTTCTCTATTACAAATGAGATCCTGAACTTTCAGTACTGTATACATTTTATTATAACAGCATCATGTTGCATGTTTAGAATTAGAAGAATGCACGAATGTAACATTATTTTTCAGAGAATTTGGAGGAAATTATCTGTGACATAATGGAACTGTGGTTGTGAATTAACTTCTCTTTAGAATGTTTCTTTGAACTCTTTCCTCAAAATATCCTTTTTGTCTTGGGCAGGCTTAACAGAAAAATCTGTAAATTATTTTTGCATCATTCTTAATTCTTTTATGTTCAAACATTGAGGACCCTAAAGAAAAGTTATGCATATATTAAGTGTAATACAGTTTATACTGCAAATATTTCCCATACTATATTTTCAGCCATGAAAGAAAGAAACAAAGAAAAATTATATCTCAACTCTAGTTTTGTTTCTAAAAAGTTAAAGTGCAACTTTTGAAAACTAAAACTAGTTTTTTTAGTAAAGTCCAATCTTCAAGTAGTATTTTGTTCTGATTTAAAGTAAGCTTTGATAGCATTAACTCAGCAAATGTATTATAGACTACTATTTTTAGGCTCAATGTTCTGGTACATGGCTGAGTGTAAGAGATTATTTTACAGCATTAAAAACATGTCAAAGTAGCCTGTGGGATTAAGGCGGGGGGAGGAAAGTGCAACCCTGACATGTGACTTGCCAGATACCAAAGCATCTCAATGCAGCCCTTAGACACTTGCACATTTCATTGCATCAAAATATATTGCCATTTAAGTCTCAGTAGCTACATTCTTTTTTTTTTTTTTTTCTTTTGCAGGGTTTTTTTTTTTTTTTCTTTTGCAGGGTTTTTTTTTTTTTTTCTTTTGCAGGGTTTTTTTTTTTTTTTCTTTTGCAGGGTTTTTTTTTTTTTTTCTTTTGCAGGGTTTTTTTTTTTTTTTCTTTTGCAGGGTTTTTTTTTTTTTTTCTTTTGCAGGGTTTTTTTTTTTTTTTCTTTTGCAGGGTTTTTTTTTTTTTTTCTTTTGCAGGGTTTTTTTTTTTTTTTCTTTTGCAGGGTTTTTTTTTTTTTTTCTTTTGCAGGGTTTTTTTTTTTTTTTCTTTTGCAGGGTTTTTTTTTTTTTTTCTTTTGCAGGGTTTTTTTTTTTTTTTCTTTTGCAGGGTTTTTTTTTTTTTTTCTTTTGCAGGGTTTTTTTTTTTTTTTCTTTTGCAGGGTTTTTTTTTTTTTTTCTTTTGCAGGGTTTTTTTTTTTTTTTCTTTTGCAGGGTTTTTTTTTTTTTTTTTCTTTTTCCATTTGCAGGGTTTTTTCTTTTTTCTTTCTTAGGCCACTGACAGGAGTTAGCACAGGTACTCCCAAACCATGCTTGCTTAGAATATTTTGGTAAACCTGTAGAAAAGCACTCAGTGTCATTATCCATTCAAGTTTACCAAAAAAGTACTATCTGTGTCCATGGAAACGGAGGACAGTGAAATGTCAATAGGCTGTGGTAGACAGGCTGGTTGCAGAAGAAATAATCTCATGTCATGGACTTTACCAGTCATGCACAGTATGTTTCAGTCTCAATTAATGGCACAAAAAAGTGAAGCATCACGGTCAAATCCAAAGAATGATGAAAGGAGTTCTCCATGATTTTGGTGCATTCTTGTGGGAAAGTATGCAGAAGCATTCTGCCAAAGATTGTCTTATACTTGAAAAGAAAGCAAGCAGAAATGTGAACTATTGGAATAATAAAAAAAAAAAAACACTTTGCCTCTTTTATTTTCTGAATTGTAGTAACTGTATTTGCAGTAGTCTAAACTTTGGTATTAGGAAAATGGGTTAAAATATGTATTTTTAGAAACAGGGAGAACTGCTTAAATTAAGTTTTTGAATTCACATCAAAGTGTCAATACATTTCTGTATGTATGTTGTCTTGCAGGAAGATAGGGTACCAAGAGTGGTCTCAAACTGTTTTGAAATGGTGCATATAATCAGTTGCAGGGCTAAAATCAGTCTGTAGAAAGTGAAATGAAAGGGATTTTTTGTATATGTATTTTTATGAATTGAAACAGTTAAATCCTCCTTGGTGGAAAAATGCAATCAAAGCTTAGTTAGTGAGGTCAGGACTTGGGATACCTGTGCAAGCAACTCTTCTTAAGGATACAAATGCTTTAAATATAGCACCAGTCCTTTGTGGTACTAGTGCGTGATCCTGTCATGAGGGATTACTGTCTGTTGGGATCCATATGACCATGATATGTTCCCCAAAGATACTCGAGATAGATGAATCAGCACCAACTGTTTTAAGCACACTGCAGTATTATGGTACCAAAAGGGTACCAGATGACATTTTAAATCTAGATGAGAATTATGATTAAAACTTTGAGAGTATTATTCTGGATCAGTAAGTTTTGTGTAAAATATTGTAAAAATATGTTACTGCTAGGGGCTTTTTAGTGTCTAAGAAGCTATGTATAGATTTGCAGCTTCAGTGGATTTGGCCTGATTTTTTTCTATTTTGGATGTTATGCTTTCCTTCAAATTCTAGCACTAATGTCAACCATGGGAAAACTTTTACTGTTGAGTTTTGAGATGATTTTGGTTTTTTCCAGTTTTGTTTTGGTGATTGAAGCTATTGATATCAATCAACTAGTGCCACCTACAGTTATTGTACTTTTTTTTATTGTAAGTGACTTGTCACTGTAGATATACCAGCCTGTTGTACATCTAGGGATTGTGCTATAGCTACTTAGAGGTCTGGTTTTATTTTTAGGCTTACAAAAATTGTGAATTGTGTAATAGCAAAGGGTAGTGCTTTTTACCAAAGCTGATCATACTGAGCCCCCAGAATTGTTAGTTGGATTACTTTGAAAGTACATAAAACATGTATTTTTGCAATGCTTTAAATTATATTTAGCTGCATTGCTAAATGTAACCAGATGCTATATAAAACTAGGCAATAAATAGCTGTAAAGCCAAAGGCCTCATGTTCTTTCAGTGTTCTTTCCATCCCATCAGGTTCCTTGCAGAAATTAAGTCATAGCAGTTATCCTTCCCCTTTTTTTTAAGTTTATCAGATCTTTTCATGTTCATAAGCATTAATGCTTTTTCAACAGTAATGGCTTGTTGCATTTTCTTCTCCTTGACCTTCTTTTTCAAGACAAGGAAAAAGTGTTCATTTCTCAGATTTATCCTTCTATAAGGCTTTCTTTCATAGTGATTGTTAAGACCTATTTCTATATAAATGGAACTGCTTTTGATACACATTTGCTCTATGTGCTGCCAACTGTTGCAAAGGTTAGACTCCACATGGGAAGGTACTTAAAACATAGCTATTACTTGTATTAATAATCATAGTATAGATAATCTCCGTGAAATAAGAGATGCAGAAAACAGAAATGGCACCAGTCTTTTCTTATTAGTTAACCTCCGTGCCTTATTTGTACTCTTTGCTTCATTGTTTACTTTTCTTTCACCTTAAGGCAGCAACTAAATTTCATTTAGTCAGCTTTTTTCTGCAGTAAGACTTCATGTGGCGTGGCTTAATCGTTCCATTTCTAATTTCATGATTATAAAGGTGTTTCTGTATCCATGGAGAGATTTACTAGTAGATCCCTACCTTCCTGTACCTCAAAACTGCTATTGCAACATTAGAATGCTTATTCAAACTAGCATTTTTTTATCATTATTAATCACAGTTTCCAAAACCATCTTGTTACTTCAATTTTACTTATGTTCTCAGCCCATGCTTGCCTCTTGTGCCTATCCACATATTTAAAACTTTGACTTAATTCCATCAAGTATGTATTTTTTGTATGGACAGCGTATTTTTCCCAATAACAAAAAATTTTGGTTAACAAAGCTTAAACATTACTTGCAGTTATTCTCTGCATGATACCCGTTGCTGAGAAATTTTTCCCCTGAAACACATCAGTACAATGAAGACAATATTTTTGATGGATAAAGTATGTCTGAAGGTACTTAAGAATGGAAAACTTACTGTAGGTAAATTAGGACATACTAAGAGTGGTACTATTTAATTAGTACTTCCTGTAATTTTCTTTTGTTGTCTAATGTCATTGAGGAAGGACTAAGGATGAAACGATATTAAGATACGTGACTTCCACTGCTCTGTTTTCTCTCTTCTTTTGCATAGGCTATCCACTCTGTGGCTTGGCATCATGAAGGAAAACAATTTATTTGTAGTCACTCAGATGGTACCTTGACCATATGGAATGTAAAATCTCCTACCAAACCATTCCAGACAATCACTCCACACGGTAAGATGAAAATGGATACCCACTGTGTTTGACAGCTTTTAAACCACAGAGAACTTATTTTTAATAGAAGTGTGTTTTGCAAAATCAAGTATTAAAAAATGCACTTGCAGTGCAAATAAAAAAACCTTTCTTTGTCATATAAATTCTGATAAAATTAATTTATTAAAAAAAGCCCAGTCTTAATGAAATAACAATCAAAATCAGTGCAGTTTAATCTAAATCTCTGAACTTTAAACTGGCCTTTCACACAATAGCATTGATCTCAAAATTAAGTAATGTATATTTTGCAAGGCTTGGTTTTTGCTTGACTTTACAAACCCATATGTTGTTTAAAATACATATAAGCGAGCATCTGTTTCATGTATAAATGTGTAGATTACCATAAATTCTTGGAAAGGTTGTAACAGAGTAAGACTAGCATGTGGTAAGATGTTCCCACTTCTGGTAAGTCTTGCATTAAAGTTAATCTAGGAAATTAACCTTACATGTTGTTCTGTGAAATGTGCTGCTGCTCTTCAAAAAAGTTCTATACAAATGCTAGGTTTACACGGTGTGCATGTGTTTAAATCGTGCCTTAGCACCTCATTTACCTCTGATTCTCAAGTGTGAATGTAACAGTGAGGAGAATCTAATGAGGTTACAGTCGCAGTACAAGATGCTAATAAGTTAAGCAACCTGGTTTACTTATCTGAGTCTCCAGCAAGTCAAGGTTTTTCTGTGCTGGCTGTGGACTAGAGTGGAAAGAGGAAGCTGTGGATTTCCACATAATCCTGTAGCATCAAAAAACTGATTGCTACTGTAGTAGTAAGGCTAGTTAGACAAGACTAAATTTATGTTTTTTCGCCTCTTGTAATAAACATTTTGATTTTGGGCTGCAAATTAAATACTCTGCAGAACTTTATAGTTGTATCAGACTTTATCAATATTCAAATAGAAAAGATGCATATTTACACTGTATTCTTAATTTCTGCAGACTCCATGGGAAATTGTATCTGTAGAAGCTTCAGTTGCTAATAGTGCACAACAGAGAAAGAGAAGGCCTTCATGTTCAAATTCAAGTCTTAGCCCTTAAGGATAACACTCAGGATAAACTTCATTTTACTTAGGCTGACCAATTTTAATTGCAAAATGGTAGGCATTAGATAAATTTTAAATCTCCCAGTGCTACTTAAAACAATGTTTTTTTTAGGGGAGGACTATAATTTTGAAAAAAATTATTGTATAACACTTCAGGGGAAAAATGAGAAAGAAAAGAAACAAAAAAATTGCCAAAATTCCCTAAATCTAAATATTCTGGGTTGATGTTTTTAGAGTTATAACAATATTTAATGGTTTTATTCCAAGGCATACTCTATACTTCAGAGGTGTTGAATGTATGACTGTTCTACTTTGCTAGTTGCATGGTGAATTTCATAATTTGCCATCATGTTATGGAACTGTAAGATTAATGTAAGAAAATGATTCACTTTAGGAAAGCAACTGAAGGATGGAAAGAAGCCAGAACCCTGCAAACCTATCCTTAAGGTGGAATATAAAACAACTAGAGCTGGGTAAGACTTGTTCTGTATGCAAAATTAACATATGTAAAATAAGTGCAGCTTGTTGGGAATGTACTTCATTTTCCAGTTGTTGGGATACATATCCTGATGGCGTTGAACAGTAAAACAGCTGAAATAGTTTTGGTAAATCAGATATTGCTGAATAAACTATAAAGCCATATGTGAACAAATTACCATATACAATCCTTTACTTAGGTGAAGATACTGTTAATGATTATCTGCATGCTTCTTCCATGTTATTACTAGAGTGTATTTTTGCTCAGTCTTTTGAGAATATTAAAGAAAGGCTGATAAAGCATAGAAGAAACTGAAGAACAGGCTTGAAAAAGTGAGCTTCGACACATAGTAGCCTGATGCAAATACCCTAAATTCTAAACGCGTTTTACCCCCAAAAAAGTTACTGACAGAAACACTATAGTGCTGGTATGGTACAGTAATTTATGCAGTGAACTGTGCCTAATTATGCACATTAAGAATGTAACAAAGCAGTAATTGCAACAAGAGGTTCAGATGGAATTACAGTATCCTGAGAAGCATGTTTTGTTACCGAGACTGCAATTAGGTTTGAAGGATTTTGTGAACTGTGTGGAATTTCTTTTATTCATAGTTCTGAAGTGCTTTAAAGTGTTTGAGTAAATAGTGGAATATAAAGATAAAATATTCATGGAAACCTGTTCAGTTACTTGCAAATATTGATTTATTTTTTTTCATGTATTTTTTTCACTTTTTGGGAGGGGTGAGGGGAGTTGTATGACTTTTTGTTTCCTTTCCAGTCATTCAAATCTATAGAAGATTGTTACTTCATTGATGTAATATAGGTTTCTTGTATATCTTGATATACCTGTATATATACTATCAGTGGCTTTGTGTATTTTTATTGTTTGCTAAAAGTGAACTAAATAGAAATTTAAGACTGCGGCTGATTTCCAGATGTAAACTCATCTACGATCAGCTAGAAAGCCATCTTTTACTTGAAGCAGTCTCTATCTGTCTGCATATTCCTTTCTCAACTGAAATGTCAAAAGCTGATCAAAAGAAAGATGCAGCTAACCAAAAGCAGTCTCAGCTTCAGCAAGTTACAATTTCTGCAATCAAAAGCCCTCTATAATGGGTACTCATTCTGAAGAAACAGATTAGTTCAAAGCCTGTTCTATGCAGTTGTAATATTACAACATGAAAACTAGTTGAATTTTCACGCAGTTTAAAGAGGAGTTTATTCTAGTCTAATTCCTAAGAATACATAGCTCTTTGGGGAGACTTTTTCATAGTGCAGACTTTTTTATGTTACACCTCTCACTTTCCAGCATTCATCCAAATTGAATGTTCAAATATGTTTCAATTTATATTTTATCTCTACTATTTTATCCATCTTAAGTGTACACCTGAATCTATAACTCTTGTGATACTCTAACAGGAGGAGGGGGGGGAGGAGGGGAAACCACCAAAACTGAAAAAAAACCCCAGTTTGCACATAGGTGGTAAAGCAGTGCTGAAAAGCTTATGACGTGCTTAAGAGGTATTATTTAATGTACATTTAAGTTATTTCACATAAATTCTTCATTGTGAAAAATAGTGAGTACTTCTAGTAAACTTCTTTGAAAAAAGACATCTGGAACTACACAGAAGCAAGGAACATAATTGATTGCAACCTGTAGTAGGGGCTGCAGACCCTATTCTTTTCCTGCTGCAGCTCTTATTAATCCCGTCTTGCTTTTTTCCTCCATTATGTTCTCCATATTGTGAAGCTGGAGTTGGGGAAACAGGAGGACATGAGGGTTTTTTCTGGTTCTTACAGACTACCTAATTATCTTTTAAATTTATGGTTTTTCTGTTGTTGGGCTCTTTGGGTTTTTTTTTTAAGTCTATTGCAGATAGTGCCTGTGAAGTCTCCAATGCCAAAGTTACTTGCCCTACAACAATAGTATGTCTGTAGCTTTATTTCTGGAAGAATATATGTAGAAAGGTTATTATTGAAGGTCGTCACTGTAGAAAGGTTACTATTGAATGTTGCTTTTATGCATGATTTTGTGTATAAAGTGAATCTAGAAGCTCTTGAGCTTCCTAATGCTATTTCCCACTCCTCCAGATTCAGTCCCTTATAGTATTTACTCTGGCTGATATAAACATTATTGCAAAATAGCCCAAGCTTATTTTTTGCTACTAGAGCACTGTATAATAGAAATTACAGCTCAAAAGTCTCTCTGTAAAACATAATCAAAATAGGGATTGTCCTGGTAGCTAATGCAGCTGTCATTGACTAACCATAGAGCAGTACCTTTTAGCAAGATGGATGTATATAATTGGGACCCAGAGGTTACAACAATAATGAGGTCTCTGGATAAGTAAAATTTCTTGATCTCTTAATTTAGTTTGAATAGTACTATTTTGTTGTGTGAGCTTGTCAGTTCAAAACTTCACAAAATCAATTTGTAATTTATCTTCGCTATTATTTCAAGATTTTCAGTCTTAAACTAAAATAACAAGTTTCTTCCACCTGTATTATTAGGGATCAACTTCTTGACAAATTCACCCATGGTTTGAAAAATAAGCCAACGGGTACCAGTGGCCTAACATCTGTATATATTGTTCTCTTCCACATCCAGATTGCCAGAAGCTTACTGACATTTGACGGTTTACTTCTAAAATTCAGCAGAAACATCCTGTAGGGTTTTGAGCCGTTCAGCACTCAGTTGTATTATGTCTTCATACACTACAAAACCTAATCCTGTGTTTTCTGAAATTTTTCATTGGAACATTGCCTCCCTTTGTATTGAATTTTTTATAGTGTTCCCCTAGTGATTTTAGATTTAACTGATGAGGAAATTAATATAAAGGGATTGCTTCCAAAGCTGCTGAAGCAGAACTGTTTCAAAGAACCTCTGTGTTTGCAGCTGCTGAAATGCTATATAGCAATTCTCCAAGAGCTCAGAACTTCTTTTTGTTAAATGTTTTCCATTGTTCCAGGTAGGTGAAATGTAACTATCAAAGAGGGATCGATATCATTTATTATGTAAATTACAATAATTTTCTTTTAAATTATGCATTTATATTTAACATTCATGTGCACTAACCTTTTAATACATATCATAACTGAAGGGCAACACCTTAAGTATTTAATTAGAAAACGCACAGCTTGTGTTTGTGGTAAATCCATGGTTTCATGAAAATATGAAAAGTTCATACGCAAACCTGTATTAGTCTTTCTGGCAAACTGAAGTCAACTTGAATCTTTGACTCATCCGTGAAAAATCCGTGTGACAGATCTGTGTAATCTATTCTTAGCTCTTCCATTCTTTGCTTCATGAGGATACAGACTCTGGCAAGCCTGCCCAAAGCAACCTGATTACTTTGATAAATAAAAGCAGGAGAAACCAGCGTGTGGTTTTCACTGTGATGTATGAAAGTTAGAAACTGAAATTTGGCACTTTGTTATTGTCAGTTGATCTTAGTGAACCCACAAGTCTAATAATTACTGCAGATTTGTTCTGGCAGCATTATTGTTTAAAAAACTAATGATTTTGTGAAGACAAAAAAACCACTACAATAAATCATTCCAGCAAAATGAGATACTGCGAGTATATCACAAGAGTGTTTTTTCTCTTCAGGGACATCCTGAAAAATATCAGGTTAAAGCTTGTCCTTCTCATGAAGTTACTTCATAGACCTGATCATAAAAGACTGTGTGAAGTTGCAATATGAAGAATTGAGATTAAGTGAAAACTTGGAGGACACTTACTCCTTTTCTAAGAGATATCCTTCCTCCAACAGTAGCTGGAAGTGTATTGAACTCGGTGGACCCATGGTCTAATTTATGGACACTCCTTTGAGGTCTCTTCCTTAGATAGCAGAAGTCTTTGATCCCATCAGCTCTTCAGTCATGGGGCTTTCTGAAGGATCAGGCATATTATGAAGTAATTGTAGAAATCGAAAGCTTACCTCAGTCTATTTTGCCTTCAATGGTACAGACACAGAGCACATTTCAGCACATTAAACTCATGAAGGGCAGCATGTGCATAAACCAAACCCTTCACACGTGGTTTTCAAGAAGAAAAATATATATAATCTGTCATTTTTGTATTTCAAATGCTGACTAGTGAAAGCCACTTAGACAGTATGGGGAAGACGGTGTTATAGGAAGAGACAAAAAATAAAAGATCGCTTCAGCTTCCTTTTCTCATGTCAGCGTGGCACTTTTTTCCCTACAAGATCTCTCCAGATACTGACACGGTAGCTGCTTCCAAGGTAGATGCAAACAAACAGTAGGATTCCTGCCTAAAGTGAGCATAAAAGTAGATCAGAGGAATTTCACACTCCAAGTGCCTATTTTTCCTGCAGAAATATAACCTGTAATTTGAGGCAATGGTCAATGGGTGAAATTTCTTCAGCTGTATGCTTATAAACAGCTCTTCAAAAGGTATTATGCTCTATTTTAAACATAAACTGTATTAAAATGAATGGTGACTTGATAATCAGGGTAGAAAATACCTAGTAAAAGAATATATTCATGTCATTTTTAATATATACTAAACTGTATATGATGTGCATATTGGAGAAAATGTGAATGTATATAAAAATGTTTCTGTAAAGATTTTTTAAGGAAGCCTCTAATTTCTTTTCTGAAGACTAGAAGAAATATTTTTGCTTTGCTGTACTCAGCCATTTAAGTATGCAGCAGCAGTAGTCTGTGACGTAGAAGTAATTCCTTGAAATTTGTGCATGGTGGTAGTGGGGAAAATAGATAAAATGTCTAGAGTAAATGGGTGATGAGAGGACTGTGGACATTTATTTATGTATTTGCTTCTTAAAAGATATTAGGTCTTTGAGTGTTATCAATCAATTAGTTGCTTCTCCAAGACAGTCATATTATTGTGACTGCAAAATTACTTTACATTGTTTGCAAAATTATTCATCTTTAAAAATTTAGGGTAATTCTGTACAGGAAGTAAATGGGACTGTCCTGATCTTTTTGAAATATTTTATATTATGGATAAATGAGTTAGCAAATCTGAATCTGCAGTTCAGTAAAAAAGAAACAATTCTAAAGTTCAACAAAATAAAAAAAATAGATCTCATCTCGGCAAACAATTGCAAAGATTGGTTAAATAAGTAGTATAGAATTGGTTTGGAAGAGATGTCTGATTGAGTCTTCTAACTCCTGGTTTTTAAGTTTTGAAACACATACCCAGCTACTCCATGAAGGCCTGCTTTGCATTATTCTTAATGTATCTCTGCTTAATGATACCTTATTGAACTTTATTATAAGGTTACAAAACGTGCCAAATCTCTTTTTGTGTATTATCTTGGCTTGATCCTAAATGCTTCTGCTTTATTCCAGGGACCCTTTCATCATTCTCTCGGGAGGCTTGTCATATGACACTGTAGGAAGAAGACCCTGTTTAACAGTTATGCATGGGAAAAGTACTGCTGTGCTAGAAATGGATTATTCTATTGTTGATTTTCTTACCCTCTGTGAAACACCGTATCCTAATGGTAGGCTCTGTAAAGACTTTTCTCAGCACTTCACCTTTTCCTTTATCCCATCAGAATATTCTTCATTATTGCCTTTCTGTTTTGTCTCTGGGGATCAAACTGCAGCAGAAAACAGACTTCAGACAATAGGGATAACTGCATCTGTTATCCCTATTGTCTGAAGTCTGTTTTCCTTCCCAAAGCATCATAATAGAATAGTTTATTGTTAAACCTGTTTTGCTTCTGGAAGAATGATGATTACTGGTTGCATGTGTTTTCCCCTGTTTTTTTTTTCATCCTAAAAGCATGTGCAGACAAAAAGTAGCATTACAATTTTAAGCTGTAGTTACTGCAGCAGATGTGTTCATCTGTTTTCATTTCACTACATAAGGCTTTTCCAGTCAGTTCTAAATCTTGATTAGCATTTGTGTAGCACTCAACTTCTAGTGACTTTATTCACTCCAATACTCACATTAAGTTTGCCAGTAACCTGTAATCTCTCTTCTGTAGAAGAGCATTTTTTGTCATAGTTTAAGTAGTTGTGTGAAATTGATAGTATTATATTTCCGATGGCTCCAATGTTTTTAGCTGTCAACACCTATCAGAGTATATTAAACTGCTTAGCTCAGAATTTGAGGTCTACCTGAAAGAGGACATGATAAACTTTGGAAACTCTTTCCATTTTCTTTTTTTTTTTTTTTTGTGGAAAATTGTCTGTCTTCCAATCCATTTTTTCAGCAATTGGAATGTAAACTCCACTGAATATGAGGAAAAGCAGTTTGAGGGTGGGAGGATGTTACTGTTCAGTAATTGGCTCTTTCTCAAAAATACTGCTTATACAAGCTCCTCTGCATGTTCCTTTTACACTATTTGAGCTGTTTAAATTATTCTAGCACATTTGAAGAGAGTTGAGAAAATTGAATTGAAGGGAGAGTGTTGTCTTCCAATCCATTTTTTCAGCAATTGGAATGTAAACTCCACTGAATATGAGGAAAAGCAGTTTGAGGGTGGGAGGATGTTACTGTTCAGTAATTGGCTCTTTCTCAAAAATACTGCTTATACAAGCTCCTCTGCATGTTCCTTTTACACTATTTGAGCTGTTTAAATTATTCTAGCACATTTGAAGAGAGTTGAGAAAATTGAATTGAAGGGAGAGTGTGGCTTTTCCAAACTTGGGAGTATTAGAGGTGGGGGTGAGCGTATAAAATATCTTCACAAACTCTATAGTCATCTTTTTTTCTACTTGAGGCTGTGTATGCAAGAACTACATTTACCAATAAGTAACTTTTTTCTTTCTTGTTTTCAGACTTTCAGGAACCTTATGCTGTAGTTGTTCTCCTAGAAAAGGACTTAGTACTCATAGACCTTGCACAAAATGGGTAAGAATCTTACGTAGTCTTTTTAATGGCTGGCTGCAGTGGTCAGCCTGCTGTTCTGCTCTATAGCTTTTTAATCTACCATAATGTCTCCCTGGCCAGAACATAAAATTTTGAATATCAAATACAAGATTTTGCCAGCAGAACTGAGAATCTTTATAGATCAACTTTTCTGAAGTTAGTATGTAGTAAATTAGTAGAATATTATGTGACTTTTTCCAGGCTTGACTGACAGAAAATACTCATAGATCATTGTTGCTTTTAATTATCACAGTTTATTTTGAAGTTGATCCCTTAATGCTATGAGGGGAGCTCAGAATTTTCAGGCAGGAAGCAGGCAGAACAACTGTTCAGGAAAGCCAGGTAATTTTGGCTGACACAAGTATTGTTGTCATCACATAAATATTTGCTGATTTTTATTGCCAAATAAATTGCTTTTGTATTGCTTAAAAGAACTCAATACTGATGCAATATGCACTTTATTTATGTAAAATTAGGATGGTAATGTCCAATCGCTGCTTTACTGCTGTGGTACGAGGCTGCTTAAAAGTAGAAAAGTAGTATCCTATTATAGTTCACAACTAATGCTTGCCTAACATGTTTTGAGTCTCTTGTTCTCTGTCCATGGAACAGTCAATGTACTCTATTAGGTGGTGATTAAAAGTTCTGGAACCTGCAATTTTTTTTTTACCAACAGTTCTGAAATTACCGTAGGCAGTAACAACTAGCTTAAGGGAGTTAGCAGAGGAACCTGAGGTATAAGATCTTTGTGGTGTTCCCGATTAAAAGTCGCCAGTGGCCAATGAAATAAGAAGAATGTGAAGAATATCCTTCTAGAGCAACACAAAACCCTGTAAATATGTATCCTCAAAGTCAATGATGGTACCTTAGATAACGAAAACTGTATCAAATTTGGAAAAACAGTGTTTCATCCAGATTGCTCAGTAGCTCCAGAGTTATTTCCTTTAGATTTTCCCAATGTTACATGGCCATATGCTGCATCCAGAACCTGTTTCTGGATGTACCAATGGCATTAAGCTTCCAGCACTGATATGTTGAAAGCTTAATAAAACAAGCTTTAATGAGCTTGAAATAAAAAAGTTTGTACAAGGCTTTTTTCTTAAGTGAAGTAGTTTGCAGTGCCTGAAACTTGAAGTTAAGGCTTGTTCCATTTTATGTTAAAAAACCTTCAGCAGTTATGTTTTTAGAAGTCTCATAGTGGTCATTGTTATGTTTGACTTGCAAATTGTTTCCTGTTTGAAAAACGCAACGATATTAATAAATTTTTGTTACAGGAGGCTTCCTTTTGCCCTGTTCCCATCATGTTTTTTTAAAATTAAGCCTGTCTTTCATTCAGTTTTTGGAAGATTGTTTTAGCTTTCCAGATAGTGCTGTATAAAGTTAGTGGTGTGCAGAATATTTTCATCTGTTGTTAATTTTTCTTTTAGATGGGTTAAGAAGCTGTCCCCTTTTTCGCTTCTCAAAAAAAAAAAAGTATGCATAGTATGCATTTCTCTGGAGGTAAATGTTCTTTGAAGGCAGACATTTACCTCTTTATTACGATTACTGGCTTTTTTTCTTCATTAAGGCTCTGTCACTTCTCAGAACGGGGGTGGGGGGGAGGAGTGTGTGTGTTTGCTTCTATTTGGTAACTGAGTGTTGCTATCTATAACTTTCAGAAAGTGACCTTGGAGTTGCAAGTAGATTATGAAAAGTGCTGGACAACTTTCTGACTAAACTATTGTAATTAAAAAAAATGAGAAGTGGAGTCTTCCTGTCTTTCTCCCTGGAAGAATAGACCAAAGAGTTAGAAATAAATTCATAGCTCCACATTACAACATTTAAGGCTTGGTATTTTCAGTTTTTCCACAGGTCATTACAATAGTAAGCTTTTTAAATCAAAACCACAAGGAATAATGGTGTTCTAGAAACAACAAACTTCAGGTTCCATCTGGCATACTACAGTGTCTCAATAGTGTACTGGATGAGCAGTAAAGTAGCATAGTATATTTGTTCATAATCTAATTTGATGTGTGTTTATTTTCCTCTATATGAAGAGAATGCAAACTTCAATGTCTTCAGTGTTTCACTTACGTTCTGCATTTAAAAAAAAAAAATAAATGTCCTGTATTAACAGTCTTCCTCATTCATCCATTAAAGGTACCCTATATTTGAGAATCCCTATCCTTTGACTATACATGAATCTCCGGTTACCTGTTGTGAATATTTTGCTGATTGTCCTGTGGACCTCATACCTGCACTCTATTCAGTTGGCGCTCGACAGAAACGTCAAGGTTACAGTAAGAAGGTATGAAATCTAGTACATGCATATGTATCTTGAAAATACTGCAAACCAACACCTCTAAACATCATGAGAGTAGCCATACTAAGACCAAGGTCCCACCTGACTTGTTATCCTGTCTTTTGGCAGTGGCTAATAGCAGGTGTCTAGAGAGGATACAGCACATGTTAAGCCTGTAGTCATGATTTCCTGATGTGCTCGCCGTAGCACTGGAAGCTCAGGGATTTCCTGGAGCCAGGGGTTTTGTTTTATAGCTGTTGTGGATTTTATTTTCTTCTCTGCAGTGGATATGGCTAATTCCTTTTTGAAGTCTTGTGAAATACTGCAATCTGGAGTATCTGCAGTAATTTCAGTGGCTTAATTTTACACTTTATGATATTTTCTTCCTCAGTATATTTGTTAATCTTCCAGGAGTGGCCTATCAGTGGAGGCAACTGGGGTTTGATCACTCAGAGCTATCCAGAGATAATCATTACAGGGTAAGTGATGCCATCAAGTAGTAATAACTTTCTTAGCTGATTAAGTAGAAAGGAGAATATTTTGTTCCTTTTACAGAAAACAATGTTCTAAGAGTGGTTTGAATGATTTAAGAAACTATGTCACCAGACAAGTCATTTGCATTCTTCAGGCATTAACAAGGAAGTAAAGGAAAATATGGAAGAGAAGCTAGGAACAAAATGAGAGCAAGTGCTTTACAGGGATTATAGTTATGATGTGGTATTGTGATTTTGTCTGCTTGATATCAGCATATCCTGAAGAAAAATGATATTTTATTCTTTAACTTTTGGAAAATAGTTGCTTAGTGTTTTAAAGCATAGGAAGTCCATTAAATAGTTATGAGTTTAGTTCTCAAAAGGAAGCCAAGCTTTTTATTTCAAAAAGGACAACCAAATACTTAAATCTTGTAATTTTGATCTCTTTTGAAGATTGATCTTTCTAATACTACTCTAGGGAGCGTAAAACTTAGTTTATAACCATGCAGTTCATCACTGAAAGTGAGAGCACTGCTAATATTTTTTTAGAACAGCCCATTAGCTCTAGTAAGGATTACTGTCACTTTATATTACACATTGCAGAGACTTTGAGAGATGGTCCTGAAAAATTCTAGTCATCAGATTGTTAATTTCAAGGGTAAATAAACAAGTTAGGCAACTCATTTACCAAGTGTCACTCCAAATAGAGGGTATCTTTTAAGAAGCAACACATAGTAAGGTATAGCAAACAGCTTATGGGAAATGCAGGAAACTGAAATCAGTATTTAAAATGGTAAATTAGTATTAGTATGGTGGAATTTCAGGGAGCTAGCCTCCAAATGTTTGGGGTTTTTTAATCCTTTCTCTCTACAGTAATTGGGCCACATGTTTGTAAAATATCAGCTTCCAATAAATTGTGAAAACAAAATGTCACTAAGAATATTAATTAAAAAAGAATGTTAGCCGTATATTTTCTAATCAGTAGCAAAGTAGTCTAACACTCTAACCATTTTACCATCTTATTAATTTTTTAATATTTCATAGGCATGCTGATGGGTCAATCAAGTTTTGGGATGCCTCAGCAAGTAAGTGTTTCCCATAGAGATTTTTTGCCTGTGCAATAAGAGTTTTCTAAACTTACTGATTTCTCTAATGAAATGTAATTGCAGACTGGTCATTCTCATTATTTCTTGCCTCATGTAGAGTCAGTAACTTCATAGGAAACTTTGGTTTTAAAATTAACTAAAATTAACATTATTTCTTAATTAATTATTCCACTTACCAGCTCGGTGAATATCCAGTGGTAGTCTGAGGGCCAGCTAGAATGGAAGAGTTATAAAATTTTTTAGAAGCACATTATTGAGCATAGAGATGCATGATGGGCAAATGCATTCAAGTACAATTGACTTTCAGTCAGCTATTTCTGTCTTTTTAGAGAGGGGAGAGGGAGGCATGGATTTATAGGACATGAGCTCAGCATAAGTTAAAGTATCCAAAAATGAGAATTGGAACCAGTAGTAGTTTGTGCTAATAAAATGATCTAGGTATTGATGAAGAAAGGCAGGAGAACAGTAAAATAATGACTCTTGGTAGAACGCTGAACAAACTCTGCATTTCCCTTCAGTTAAAGAGTCAATTGCATCTGATGGTCTACACAGCTAATAGTGAATTCAGTAAAAATTCGAATTAAAATGGACTACACAGATGTTCTAATTAGTCTAGTTCTAGCTAACCTTACTCTTGGTACTTAAAAGCTGTCTGAAGCAATCACAGAATCATTAGCAGTTGTCTTTGAACACTTGTGGAAGACTGGTGAAATTCCAAAATGCTAAGGGTGTGTGGGTGTGGGAGGGAACAGATGCAATGTATGTGTTTAAGAACTGGGAGGAGGAGTATTTGAAGTGTTATAGATCTTTAATTTCAGTTTGGGGTGGGAGTGGAACCTGGGGGAGAGAGAGATGCAGGAAAAAATAACCTGGTTTGATTTTGTGTTCTTAAAAATTCTATTCTACATAGATCTGTCAGAAGGAGATTCTGTTAAAGACACTTCATTTATTTCTAAGATAAACCAGCCTCTTAAGGGAGAAACTGCATGTATCCTGTACCTTCCATTTTAAAACTTTTAAATCTCTCTAATAGCGCACCCTTACACTTGAACTAAGGAAGTGTGATTCAGGTAAAACCACTGAAATTTGGGAGAGGAGAAAGGATGCTATAAATTAAGTTGGCCTAATGATATGATCAGTATTTGTAGCAGTGATTTGGGCCATTGACTAGAGAATATGCCTGTGAAGTTTTAAAGCAATACTAAGACAGTTGAAAGAAAACGTGAGAGAGAATTTGCATTGCAATTGAGAATGATATTACTAGTTCTTGAATAGCATCCAAGACCATTTATTTGAATATAGGATCAATGATTTACAGTTAGAACTTATGTTCTGGGAAAAAAAATATTAGAGGTCTGATGGATTGCGGTGTCAGTGTTGCACAAAAAAATCATCTGGATAAACAAGTGGGAATACATGTAAAATCAAACTGGGACAAGGCCTCCCTAGAACTGGGAAACATGCTATCAAGGAAATGTGGACTGGTCAGAGCACAGTGCTTTTGAATGACAGGACAAAATAGAAAGTGGAGGAGTTGGGGCTGTTAAGTCTGAGAACACAGGTGAGAGAGGCCATGGAATTGAAATACTGTAAGGAGAAAGGAAAGGAGTTTCACTTGCTCTACCACAGGTGGGATTAAGTTCTGGGTAAACCTTGAGAAGCCGTGAGGGCTTACTTAACTGAAGCTTAGTATATATTTCTCAAGAAAAGTGTTGTTGGTTTTTGGTTTACTGGTTTATTTTTATACTAACTGACCCTGCATTGGGCACGTGGTGCACTGCATGGGCAGAGTTAAGAGAGCTATTCAGTGCTTCTACTCTGCCCTCTTTTGTAGATTATAGTGGCTTTATCTATGAAGAGAAGCTTCTAAATTAGAAAAATTAACAAGAGAATATTATCTGTTTGATCAAAACTAATTCTTGTCGTCTTTGATTTTTTCCTAGTAACTCTGCAAGTTCTCTATAAGCTAAAAACAGCCAAAGTATTTGAAAAATCACGGAATAAAGATGACAAGCCAAACACAGATATAGTAGATGAAGATCCATATGCTATTCAGATCATCTCATGGTGTCCAGAAAGTAGAATGCTGTGCATTGCTGGAGTTTCTGCACATGTCATTATTTACAGGTTCAGCAAGCAGGAAGTCACAACAGAAGTCATTCCGGTAATTATTTTCTCATTTCATTATTAAAATAGTCAAAAACAATTGCCATAAGACATGAAAATGTATTTTTTTGTGAAGGAAAAATAATAAATTATGAAATTCAGCAAAAGTGAAACTGCACACCAAGATTTTGGTTTCCATTGGCTTTTTCACGTTTTGCAGCCGACGTTATTTCTTTTTTCTATGTATCAAAGCAAACAGTGGATCAAAACATGGCTGCAGCAAAGGTAAAATTAAAACAGAAGCAAATGAGATATGGAGTTTATTCTATTTTTTCCCTTGATTCGTAATAAATACCATCTGTTTTGGCAAAACTGCAGTCTCCAGAACTACAGCAGAAGCATGCCAGACATGCCCTAAGGTCTGTTAAGGACTTTGCTGTGTCACTGTTTTATTCCATATAAGATACACTGACGAATTCTATTACAAGTTTGAGAAGTCCTTTTTTAAATCAGACACACATGCAACTTATCTGAATGTATGAGTGGAAGGTTAACTTGAAGCCATTTAATTATAAAATAGTGTATTTTCTGAGTAAAGAATTAATCATAATGTAGCTGGTTTTTTTTTTTCTCTTCCATGCCATGTCCCCTCTCTTATTTTGCCCACTTCAGGTAAGTTTCACTTTAAGGAGATGAGGCGTGGTTGATTGTTTTGTGGTTTTTTTTTTTTTTTCCCTTCTGGCATTTACTTAAATGATTTTTCAGATCGGCCCTTAGCAAACTATTAATTCAGTACTAGGAATGCTTGAAAAGAAAATACTATAGAGGTCTTTGTTTCAGTCTGTGAGGTAAGATCTACTTTGCAGATGATGGGAATAATAAAGCAGGGGTAAACTTTCTTTACACTTCACTACAAGTAATACTAATATTGTTATAGACCCAGCAGAGGGAAATCTGAAATCATGATGAACTTAAAGTTCTTTAAAATGTATGGTCTAGTTCAGTACAATGTTACATATTGAAGCAAGTCTCGTGTACAACAGTATGAACTGTAGCTGTCCACATGCCTTCGGCTCTTCTTAGTTCTAGAATTCCTGAACTACATAAAACAAGTCATCCTTACAACTGAGGATTTATTATGTGCATAAAATGATAATTCAATTGGTCTTGTATCCACTATTTAATTTATTTCCAGTATAAAGCAACAGACTTTTAAATACTGGGAAACAAGTTAGATTTTTCAACTTTTAAACAACTTTTAGATATTTAGTCTGTAATAGCTAGTATGACTCTATTTCTGAAGACCACTTGAGTGTTAAGGTTGAATGGCTTATTAAACTACTGTTATCTTTTAAAAGATGGGGAAGTCCTGGGTGTTGCTTTTATCATTAGTATCTTCAGTTGCACTTCATTTATTTTGTATATAGTTTTTTGAAAGGCAGAATGTACTGATAATAGTGTTGTTTTGTGTTTTTTTTAATTTTCATTTACAGATGCTGGAAGTACGTCTGTTGTATGAAATAAATGATGTTGAATCTCCAGATGGTGAGCAGGTGCCACCTTTACCAACTCCAGGCACGGGTTCCAATCCTCAGTCCATTGTTCCCCAGTCTCATCCATCTACTAGTAGCAGTTCATCTGATGGACTTCGTGATAATGTCCCATGTTTAAAGTAAGTATATTCTGTTATACTTCCAAGTGTGAAGCTTCACGAGGGCACGTGATAAGAATGCACGTACCTTGATGTTACTACAGAAATGTCATTATTGGTTGAAATATTATATTTATTAGAGCAATGTTTTCCAAAGATTTGAAAGTTGCGTTCTGTTTTAAGAATCTTATATTGCAATCTTAGTTTTTTTAAACTTCATAAGCTGATATTAAAAAAAAAAATCTGAAAAGCCTTACCTTATGACTGCTGCTTGCTTTAAGAAATTTTGGCATAGATGTTAGTATAGTTATAGGTGCTCATGCAGATACTTTCAGTCGCTGGAATATAGTTACTTTGAAATCTTAATGTCCATTGAAATGAATAGACAACTTAGTGTTTTCCTTAACTTCAGGCTTAAGTATGTCTGAATAGATTTCACCTGTTAGTTTTCCAGAACCTTAGATTATTTTTTTTTTAGAGCCAAATCAAAAGCAATGTAAATGCTTACAAATCACCGAGAGTAACTCTTCTTAGGTTTATAGGTTTGGTGGTTTTTTTTTCATAACTCTCTAGGGAACTGTTTTATATTTTGGGAACAGGAAACAAATGTCCCATTCTCATGGATCTTCATTTTGCATGATGTCTTGTACTGCTTGCAGTGTAGATCTTCGGCCAATTTTCAGATTTATTTTTTTTAAATTGGGAGCTTTTTCCTTAAGGTTCTTCATGAGTGAACTTTTACTTATTTGAGAAATGAAGATTAGAACAAGACAGTCTTTTTTACTCTTCTATAAGAGTGCATTATGAGGTCGCTAGACTGTCTCCTTTCCCTTACAGAATATACATTGAACTTCATTTTCAGATATAAAGTTAAAATATGTATATACTTTCTGTTTTCTGAAGTTTTAAGTTCTTAACTTGGATTTTAATTCTGCGTGCATCCATTCAGAAAATAACTAATTCTGATGGTGTTATTTTCTCTGGCTGGGCGTTTTCATGTCTCATGGGTTGTACTGAGTTACAGAAGTGTCTTTCTACAGTCAGTAAGCTCTAAAGAAAACTGGACACAGTAGTAGAAAAAGTGGGAAAACTGAGAATTTTTATAAAATATTGCCAAACCAAAATAAGCATTAATGGGAGTGAATGGGTAAAATAAGGGGAATTCAGGAACAGAATCAGCTTTTTGTTTGCATTTGTCTTGATACATTGTGCTTCCCTTAACATTTTCAGTACACTTCTTCCATGTGCACCCCTCATCCTCTTTCATTATCTAAATCAGAGTTCTTTTGGGAGATCTGAAAAGAATTGGTAACGCCTTCCTTTTAGACACTGAGCACCTTTATTCAAGTCAGTACAGCATGCTAACACTGTTAAGCCTTGCTCTGCAGAATGGAGAAGTAAAATACCTGTGATCATTGCTCAATTATTTTTCAATTAGGTGATGAATCAAGAGAGCCCTTAAAAAGAAACAAATGACCAGTTCCAGTGTGGTTTTTTTCTAGTTGTTTTTATGTGTTTGTGTTGATCCTTTGCAATTTCCTAGCTTCTGAAGTCCACTGTGGTGTAGAATTTAATGAACTCTGAGCCCATAAGGAAAAAATGGAGAATGTGGAGAATCATAAAAAGACACTATGTTTTGTTTTACTTTGCAGAGTTAAAAATTCTCCTCTCAAGCAGTCTCCAGGCTACCAAATCGAGCTAGTTATCCAGCTAGTGTGGGTGAGTGGAGAACCTCCTCAACAGATAACCAGCTTAGCAGTCAACTCAGCATACGGCCTGTAAGTATATTCTACGCAGTTTTTCTCGTTATTCTGTTAAAGTGGTTTAAAATTATCTGTTAAAAATTAAATGCTCATGCATGTTTACATGAGCTGCACAGCAACAGGAGAGGCAATCAGTCTCCTACGCTTAAAGATAATTCCTTTTGGGTCATGGCAGATCCTGATGATGCTAACATCAGACGCAAATCAACATCACGTTTCCTCACCTGGCACTGGAAGGCTCTGTCAGGTTGGCAAGTGCAGTGAGGGTGATCTGTTCTACTCAGTGTCACATTTTTTGACAAGAGAACAATTAAACAATACTGCATCCAGAATATTATTTTATAAATATATTTAACTTAGGGTAGTTTATAAAAATTAGGAAGTCTTAAAATTCTGAACAGACACAAATGCTGATATAAAACTTTACCAACATTTGATTAGCACTATCTTTCCTTCTACTTCTTTTTCCAGAGTAGTTTTTGGAAACTGTAATGGTATTGCCATGGTTGATTACCTCCAGAAGACAGTGCTCTTGAATCTAGGCACTATTGAACTGTATGGCTCCAATGATCCTTATCGCAGGGAGCCACGATCGCCCCGAAAAAGTCGGCAACCGTCTGGAGGTGAGTAATCCAAGACTTGTTTTAACCAACTGTGCCTTTCTTCTGAGCTTATCTAGGCTACTAGCGTGTATTCTTTGAATTAAAGTGTATCTTTCTATACTGTGGTTTCATCCTTCTTGATCTATCCCTAATGTTGACGTTCCAGGTTTGTCATTTCATGTTTCCTTTAAAACTGTTGCTTAGTGGAATGTACTGATGCTTGATATCAGTATTCATTTTTCAGTGTAATGTATGTTTTAAGATAAAGCAGATGGGAGAATGTTGTCTGTGCGATCAGGTAAATCCATTGTGCTTATATGCAGTTTACAAGATTTTAACTTAATACAGGATGAAGAAGTAGAAGTATCCTGGTATTTCTGATAAACTTAGTACCCATATCACATGCATGTATGAACTCATTAATGTTTGCAGATAGACAGTGTATCTGCTGTGACATTTTGGCTTCCTATTTTAAACCTTTACTAGAAAAGTCCCTGATAGGCTAAAGCATATTATGTTGTGTATGCTGTTACATTATGCTTGAGAGGGAGCCTTTGATTTAAATGAAACAAACTTCTAAATACGAATCAGTAAAATGGATCTTTCTTTCTTTTTTTTTTTTTTTTTTTAAATCAGTAAAATGGATCTTTCTTTCTTTTCTTTTTTTTTTTTTTTGAAAAAAGGACCTTAATTTTTAAAATATAGTGAGCAAGGGTGTTACTTTTCTCCTCAGCTGTAAATGGACTTTTCGGGCAAAATTCCAAACTTTATTGCCAAAGGGAAAACTGAATATTTTTAAGTTATTTTCTTCTCCTAGTTATGTAGTGGATATTTTTAAGCTAATTTGGAAGGCATTCTTTTGATAAAGACAGAACAATAATGTTTCTGCTGCCCCAAGTGATTATTTTTCAATAGAAAATAAGCTGATCAAAAAACCCTCATGTTCTAGTGTTTGTTGCTTTATTTTGAAATCTAGAATAAAGTCCAGGTAAGTTCTCTAGGTAATATTTTATTCAAATTGAATGGATGCTCTAAAACATTTGAGAGAGACCTAGTTAGCACCGGTTAGTTTATTTCAACTGAGGAAACTGGTATAAGAGTCATTAACACAGAACATATACAGGTTATCTGACACCCTGTCAGATAAAATATTTTCTTCTTGAAAGTAAACTTAAAAAAAAAAAACTTTCAAAGAGAGAAAGAAATAAGTTTACTGGTTGACTGTGTTAACTTCTCTTGGGAGTTAAATTCTGATTCATACATTTTGATTATAAACAGTTTTTTTGAAGTGTTAAACATTACTTGCGTTGTTTTCTTGGTTTTTGTTGATGTATTGGATCCACATAACTCTGAGTTACAACTGTCTCGATGTTCATGAATGAAGTTCTTTTCTGCTCATAAATATAACTGTTACATGAAATCATATTTATTTTTTTTCATCTTACATTTTAATATTAAGGGTCTGCATGGCAAGAGCATTTTATAAACCCGATTATACAAGTTATTCTGCTGGCTTTTCTGTCTCAAATGTACTGTTAGTGTCTCCGTCTTTCCTTTTCTCATTGCTTCACAAAGGTATGCTGACTGTGGCTTCTTGCATGTGCGGCCTTTCTAACTTATATTCAGAGTCTGTGAAAAAGCTTCGCACCTCTTATATAAGTAAGTCATCTCATGGCAATAAAATATTTTTGAACATCTGAATTTGATTTTTTTTGACTTGTTCACTCATAAATATTTTCGTTAGTCCATTTTAAGCAATTGTTTTACTTTTAGAAACTAATTTTTAATCACACACCTATCATGTTTCTTGTTCATGGCATCTTTAAAAGAAACTTGAAAAAAGGAATCATAACAGTCTCTGTATTTTGTGGGGTTTTTTAAAATAAGAAAATAGATATTAAAATCAAAAGGAGATCCTGTCTCAGAAGTTACTGATGTCTATAAACCCAACATCTTTCTCACCAAACTTAGTGTTGTTTTGAAGTCTGAGGCTAGAAGCTTCCCTTGCTTGGTCCCCTTTCTGGCAGAAAAAGCTTTAGACTCTAGTATTAGGTTATTATTATTTTTAATAATGTTTACCATTGAAAAAGATGGCAATCAGTCTATTACAAATGAATATGTACTTCTACAAAGATAGTGATCGTAGGGGTTAAGAGTGGAGGTGTTTGCATATTGCACAGCCCTGCATGGTTTCCAAGCAGTTTTGAAGTTGAGGTGTCTATGCAAGGGAGGTAGCCCATCAGAACCATGATTTTACCTGAGGGCTTCTCTGACTTCCTCCATTCACAGTATCCAAGAATTGGGAGAACGTAAAGCTGATTTTAAAAGCATAACATTGTTCCTTTCCCTAGGGTGCCAGTTTTCTCCAGCCCTTGGGCAGAGGTAGGTAATCTCACCCCATTTTTAATGAAGGAGACACTAGAATAAGCTAAGGGAAGAATGACCTGGAGTTAATGAAAAATAAAAAAAATAAAAGACTTGAGATTGTGGTGCAGTTCTGTGGTTTCTGCTATTTATTTTTTTTCCCCAACAAGAAAAAAGAAGCTTCATAGAGGGAAGGCTCAATAGCCAAATACTGCTTTCTGTGTAGTCTTCCATCTTTTGCTGCCAAGGGACAAAGCAAGCTAGACATAAAAGAAATGCCTCCACCTTATGATGATACAGAGTTGAAAACCAGGCTCTGCCAATGATTTATTATTGTGAAGGGAAGCAAAAGTTGGGCAGAAGTCCCAAAACTGGTTTCTGAAGCCAATGGTTGTAAAGCTGAATTTACCTAGACTATTTAATTTAGGAATAAGTTAAGACAGGTTTTGTATGAGAGTTAATTTCTTAAGCATGTAGTTAATACCCTTTCCCTCCACCATCCTCTCAATATCTTGATTAGCTGGAGCTACAGTCTCTTTAAAAACTGAAAATAATTTCTCTAGAGTTATCATTTAGTATTTCTCACTATTTGTAGTTCTTTCAGTGTTGCCCAGACTTGAATAGCTGAAAAATGATAAATCATTATTGCTGCGTAATTTTCAACAAAGTCAGTTACATTAAAGAACTATTTTTGTTGTGTTTATAGGATTGGAACTACAAGAATTAGCCAGAACACTTCTGGATTTTGCATACTCCCTTTTGTGAACATTAATATCTGTGCTTAGTGTCTTCAAAAATGCAAGGAACTTACGCTTCCTTGGTTTGGTTTCGGAAAATTGCCTTCATTGAATTCTTTATCTTTAAAACATTTGTATTTTAATACTTCTAAATTTAGTTTTCTATGAATAACACTTTTTCAACTACTGTACAGCTCTAATAGTCTCCTTCGGGGAGTAATGGTAGCTAATTTCTCAATCTTCGTAGAAAAAGTGCTTCTGTATTAAATCTGATTGTTTTGGAGAAACTGAGTGCATTTCCCATTCTCTGAGACAACCACGATGCATTTTAAAAAATAAAATAAAAATTATACTAGCCTATGCATGCAATCAGGAAGTTATGAATTAGTTACATTAAGTTCAGGTTCAGAGAGCTTCCCAAGAGAGCAGCATATTGTTATTGTATGTTGTATCCCAAGATGGACAGAACCAAAAATTAAATTATTTCAATATAGAACAGAGTAGGAAGTAATTTACTGTTATTCAACCACTTCGAAAGATTTTGCCCAAAAAAAACAGCAAGAGTTCATCCTTCCTTATTAAGAACTCTGATATTCTGTATGTTCCAGCGTAACTTGTCTATTTAATAGATCATCAGTATCCGCTTACCTACTTATAATTTAGTAAGTAGCATGTCCTGAATCAAACTATTGAAAATTTTAAGACTTTTTAAAAAATGCGAGATTTTTCCCTTCACTTGTGTTGCAAAAATATGATGTGTGTTTCTGTCATCTTATTTTTTTCTACTCAGAAAAGAAATTCAGATTCCCGTCTTAAAGCAGCATCTATTTAGAGACAAGGCTCTCTACACTAGCTAGACTGTAAACTGTCATTTCAGGCTAGCTCAACAGATACAAGCTCCCAGTTGGGATCGTGTTTTGGAATTTATCAGTGATTCATACCAGGTATATTACTCACATGTTTTGGGTGGCAATTTATAGTTTGTGAAGCATGCAGTATGTATGTTTTGTGAAGACCTTCAAGACAGTGTCATCAGGTGCTTGTCAAGGATAAAAACCAAAGTCAACCTTTGGCTTCAGGTTGTAATAGTCAGGGGGGGAAAACCAACTTGGGTCATATGTCAAAAAACACACCATGTGTAAGTAAAGGATTTATAGCATGATGAAAACTCTACACACAGTGGAGGCTAACATGTTTTAGAGACCTTCACTTGATAAACTGTTTGCTGTAAATATGACAGGAGCCATTAAGAAGGCAGCCAGTATTGGTACCAAGCTATCAAACAATTTGTAATTTTATGGTTGAACACCAAAACTTAAGACAGCTGTTATTTTTCCTTGCTTAGTTACATAATCAAGTTCACATGGGACACCAATCTTAACTGTTTTGCAACCTGCTGTTCTAGGGAGTTAAAAGTTTTTATGTGATTTCTCAACTAGTACAATAAAATACAATAATACAACTCTTTGTAAATTAGCATTTCGTAGTTCTACCAGAGGCAGTTTAGGATTCTGACAAAATAGAAGCAGTTCTTGCATACATATGACTTTTTTGCTTTGCTTAAACATAAAAAAGCCTTTTTTTGTAATGTAGTGTACAGGGTTTCAGAACTGGGCTTGAGTCAAACCTGAAGAAAATACAGGCCTAGAACCTTTCTGGAGTTGCTTGTTGTAGTTGTTTTCCCTATGCCCTTTCTCCTTGAACTGAATCTGGACATTATCTCTTTGCATTTTTAACGTAAACATCAACTAAACCAGACTAATGTCAGCTGTGGCTAAGCCAAGTCCAGAACTGAGTCAGGAAGTTTGATTGTTGGCTTTGGGCATCTTTGTACTCCTTTTTTTTTTTTTTAGGTTAATTGTTTTTAAGTCTAACTTTGTCTTCCTATCAAGCTAGTTCTAGTTAGTCTAATTTTTTAATTAGATGAGTTTCCGGTCAAGTTACAGTTTTTTCAGAGGTGTATCCGCCTAAAGCTTATGTGAAAAACTGACAAATGTCTCATGAAAGTTGCTTTGTATGTCCATTAATTCCAGCTATAAATGTAGGAAATTTTTAATGCATCTAGGGATTTTTTTAGTGCAACATGGTATTTTTGATGTCTTTAATGACACTTGATTTATTTTAATTCATTTTTGGTTTTTTTTCCAATTTCTTGCTACTAGAGTTCAGATATATAAGCTAAAAGTTTATTAGGTCACTTTTCCATGTATTTGTGTTATAGTCAGGTTGTAGTCTTTGCAGTTCTGAAATGGAAAATCTTGGAACAATTTGCTTTTGTAATCCATAGTGATTTGCACATGTGCTGTCAAGCCTGAAGCCAGAGAATTTGCCAAGAGAGCTGTCTTACTGCCAGTGCACACACTGTGTCTGTCAGGGTGCCTGGGGTTTTAAGGTGAACAGCAGTAATGGTTGTTACACCAGATTCTTCTTCTCATTGGTCATAGACAGACCCTCATAGCTCATAGACTTAACTCAGATTATTCTTGTTATTCTCTGTTTAGTTTAATTAGTAATACAGTCATAGATAAAATGACTTTTTATCTATTTCTGTCTCTTCTCCTCTCTTTTAAATAATAAGTGATGGCTATGCTTAGATTTCCATGGTTTATGTGCCATAATGATTGTCATAAATCACACTTCTCTTTAGTGAGATAAATCTTACCTAATGTATAAAATTAGTTTATAGGTTTATGATCAGAGAATGTATTGGGGGTTTTCTTTTGGATCAATTGGTAACAGTTACTCATTGAGATGTATATTGATCAAATAATAGCCTCAAAAAGTCTTAGAAATCAAGCATGTTAGGTGTGTGACTTCACTGTTGGCTGAAGACTGTTCCTGTCAATGCAGGATTTCACTTTTTATAGAAAAACTAGTGTGAGAAGTTAAATTCTTCCTATGAAGATAGAATTAAAAAATGTATGAGAGAGGGGGATTAGGTTCCTGAACTGTGTGTTTAGATTTGTACAGCTTGGCTCCTGAAGGAGCATGATCTGGAAACATAACTATTTCTAAAAGCACAGTATAAGTTTGTCATCCCAAGACTGCTACTATATAAAACCTCTATTGCTTGTTGGGAGAGCAGTACTTCTATTTTTGAAAGATCTTTTTACGCAGCCCTGGCTGGTACAAAATATTTAGATTCCCACGCGTGTCTAAAACTCTGGTGTTTTTAGAGATGAAATCATAGTTTGTTAGAGACTATGTACCACGATTATCCCACAGTGGTCATTGATTTACTGACAGATAAGTAAATAAATAATTGTTGTTTTCTTTCTTCTGTGTAGTGGAGGTATAGCATCCACCTGGGACTTCACCGTATGTTGTAGAATTAAAATCAGCTCCTGGACTGTTAAGTGTAGTTTTAACCAAGCCTTAAGGTCATTTGATAATTTCATGTCAATCCTAGTTATTGAGGTTTTGAGGTTCAAGCTGTGTACGCTCTTAAAGGCTACTTTGCATAAGCGAAACTGTCTGAATGTAACATTTTTTTAATGTGTTCGACACTTCAGAAGAACTTTTTTTTCTTTATATGATTAACTTCAGTTTTAGTATTGGAAAATCTAAATCTGTGATAGAGTAGTGCTGTTCCCATATTTTCTTTTTGTTGTCTGTTTACAGATGTGTACAGATGCACTAGTGAATGTGTAGAATACAGCTGTATAAACAGGCATTGCACGTGCAAGCCCTTTTTGCCTTAGCCATTGCCATTACACCTCTCGAGCTCTTAAACTATCTGAAATATTTGTGTGCATGCAAAAACCTTTCATTCTAACAAATATTTCTTATTGTTACTCTTAAGTATTAGAAGCTTGCTTGCGTTAGTATCACATCATGAATTTCTGGAGGAAGACTTTTATATTAACCTGAAGATGCATTTCTAACCTTAAAATATCAGTAAAATTCCCTGTTCCTAAGTGTGGGCAGTCTTGATGGCAATTTATTGTTGAAAAGAAAAATAAAAAAATTCCTTGTATACTTCCAGTTAGTGCTATGGACTATAACTTAGGACCCTTATGAGGCAGCTTCCATCTTTAGCATCTGATTGTGGACTTCTGTGCTTTATTTCCTTCCCTGGAATGCAAGGAATGAACTTTTAGGTATTAATATATTGCACTTATTCAAATGATCTTTTCAAATGAGCTTGAACAATGTAAGAACTTAGTGAAATTCTTCCATACAAGGAAGAACAGTTCTGAAAGCACCTTAGAACCTAAATTCTGTGAGGGACATCAGTAAGGATGTCCTCTTTCACCTGACTTTATTTTGCAATTACTTTTTTCATATAGGTAGGATTTTTTTCAAAATAAAAACTATATTTTACTTAATATGTATCTATAGCATGTATTAATTAATTGTTCTGCTAAGTCTATCTTGCTGAAAATGTGGTTTTCACTGAAATTTAATGAGTAAGCATATTTTGTAAAGAAAACTTTAGTAGGAAGAAGTGACTCTACAGTCACTGTGAGTAATGTCCAAATTAAAATAAAAATAATAATCCATAAAAAATTCTAACATAACTGGCTGGTTTGTAGCTAATAAGAAATAAAGTTCCTAACTGCAGTGAAAGAAAGGATAAAAGTAGCAGCTGTATTTATTATACACTGTTTTTGTGTTCCAGCAGGTCTTTGTGATATTAATGAAGGTACAGCAGTTCCAGAAGATCGCTGCAAATCGCCCACTTCAGGTAATCATAACTTTCTCTGTTCTTCAGTTTATTTGTCCAGAAGATGGCATGCTTTAAGTCAACATTTGCAGGTTAAGTAATTATACAAAATCTGTTGTTTTCTCACATACTATTTGAGCTGTTGTAAATTTGGCTGTGTTGCACAGCTGCATTTTTAAAACAAGGCTGATTTAAGAGATGCAATAGAAATATGTCATAAAGATGAATGAAGAGAGATACAATCTGAAATATTTATGCTTCAGGGAACATACTGCACAATAGAAATTTGAAACCTTGATACGAGATGCACAAATTCCTGTAATAGTTCACGTGACTGTTTCATAGTCCTCAGAAGTGACAAAGATGACTTCTGTAAAAAGAGTTAGCTTACTTCTGCTTCCTCATAAGTGGTACATTACTATTTTTCTTTGGAATCGGAGGTCTTCAGAAACTGGCGTTGTTACAAAGTAGGAATTCCCTACTTAACCCTCCCCCCTGTCTTTTGTTTTTTTTTTTAAGTTGGCACTGCTATATGTGAGTATTTCAGCAATATGTAATACTACTTAGTATTTTGTTTAATTGTGGCTAGTTGAGGTTATTGCCATGTAAATGCTTAGTAGTGCATGTTAATATATAGCATTCAAGATGAATATTTCATGTACTAGTGAAATATTTTTCGCTTATCTTTATTCTGAAAAAACTTTTAAAGTAATATGTCACTTCATCTTTTTCATTGAAAGCTATACTCAAAGAAGAAAATTGCAGACTTAAGTAGCTGAAGTGGCATGTGCACTCTTTACAGTGTAGTGCAAAATGGTAATCAATATAGGCATCTGAAGATAGTTTCCTTTTCTGTTGTAGCCTGTACCTTTCAAAGCCAAGTTGAAAGCGTAACGAAACAAAATATCCTGTTTGTAGCTCCAGTAGAAATTTTAACATAAATTTTAATTTCTGATTTGACAGTGGCTGTCTTTTGATGTTAATTTTAAAATTTGCAAAACTCTCATCTAGATCAGTCAATGTCACTTTCTTTTTTGCCAATCCTTTCTTAGACTCAATTAGATTTATTTATAATTAAAACAAAATTTGGATGGAAATTTTAAAAAGTCTTAACGGAAGATGTAACTTCATGACAGAGCTGTGTAAAGATAAGTATTGGCATGCTGAAGTTGTCAACTTCAGCATAATTTTTGATGCATTTACATTTTTTGTTGTGTTTAGAATATATTCTAAAGTGAATCTTTCCTTTTTCATTTTTAAATATCAAGACAATGTCTGTAAACAACTTACTGTGTAGTGCTGCAGTTGCAGTAAATCACTTACTCTGTCAAGATTGAGGAGGCTGATGGTAATTATTACTAAGATACTTGAATTTTACTCACTTAAAGTCCAGGCTAAGTCTAGTTTCTCATAGATTGCTATAAAATGTGTACAATGAACAGCTGATGAGTTGTAACCTTTAATCAGTATCCTTTTTTCCCCTTGATCCAGTGTCATCAAATGTCAGTTCAAACCACTTCCAACTGGTACTGCAAAACTTAAAATACTCTTTCATTTGAATTAGAGGATTTCTTTCATAATTTGGAGTAAAGCTCAATTTGTTTCCATTAACAATGCAATGAAAGTAAGCCCAAAGATGAAAATCAAGGTTTATATGGAAAAATCCTAAGTTTAACAATTTGCCTCACCTCCCTCTCTATTTACCGCCCTCCTTCCTATCTCAGTTGTGCTAGCTGAAGTAGGTTAAAAATAATGCAATTTTGTTATTTAAGAGGATCAAAAAGGAGGCAACTTAGAATAGATGTATTCAAATGTCCTGAAAGGAAAGCAATTTAGAGGGAAATTCCTACTCCTACAGAGGTAGAAATCAATCTCCAATTTATTACTTGGCTATATGAGAATACTATTTATGAAGTTAGTGTATATTAGAATAAAATCTAGAGGTTTGGAGAACGGAGTGTTCCGTGAAAAGAGCGTATAATGTCTAAGACTTACTTGTCTTTAGTATTGTGTGTGAATAACAAAATAGTGAATGGACAAATAATGGAAGGGGAAGACAAGACCCCTGTTGCACTCCCCTGTAAAACAATCTTGAAGCAGTGAGGCTGGACTGTGCCTTGCTTCCCTCGGGTCTGTCCTGTCCTCCCAGCTCTTGGTGAATGAGATGAGTTCTCCAGCTTTCCTTTGAGAAGGGTACTCGAGTGGAGACACCGCCCTGATAAGGTGATGTTTGTGAAGAGAGAAGAGCTGCAGTTCCTTAGGTCTGGTTTAAGCTTTATATCTTTTCTGGGCAAGAGCACAAGACTGGAAAGAAGCATGAAAATGGCATTCTGTTTTTGGAGAGAGGAGAGGACATTTTGGAGAAATCAGCTGCACAGTATTGGTGAGCTTGAGATGCAGGACAGAGGGCAGATTTAAATGAAGTTCTAGTCTGGTGTTGCTGTAGTTAAGAGGAAAGCACACGAGCACAAAAAGTTTACTTGTTGCTTGCTTTAAGAATGGAGGATAGTATTGGCAACTGAGTGCATTATTGGCTTTGACTGCTACAATATGATCAGTAAAACAGACCAGCAGCTGTTTGGGCTAAAGTCTGCATTTGCTTAAATGATGTAAATTTTCCACCTCTTCCACCTTTCTGTGCTCAGGTGAAGACAAGTGGAAGCAAACTTCCATTAGACTTCATCTAATGGGTGGTGATATCGTTGAGAGGACTGTAAAAGGTATTACTTGTCTATGCAAGTTAGGAGACTGTCATGCAGTTTTAATAAGACAGAGCTATAGAAATGCTGTGAAAATGCGAGAGAGAATATCTCCTACTTTTTTTACAGAAGTCAAATGGTTACAGGCTTAGGCCCCAGGGGCATTTATCTGACCGCTAAAACACTGTATGGCATTGTAAACATGTTGAATTTTGTGTTAAAGACTGTCAAAACATATGCATTCAATTCCTATTTTATACTTCCACAGTATAAAATCCAATGAAATTTGGCATTTTTTAGTTGCTTTAATTTCATTACAATGGTAAGCACCCAGTTGTGGCCTATAGCCACCACTGTTTTTTCAGTGTTAAGGATTCAGGAAAATCTCAGGTGGCATCATTGCCTCAGAGCTGTCTGCAGAATAGTTGAACTGTGGCCCAACGGTGACTTTTACTGCATTGGAAAACAAACCAATTTTTCAAAACTTGAATTTATTGTTATGGCAGTGTTGTGTGAATTGTAATTTAGGTTAATGTTTGTGTCTGGTGCCGTAATTAGGACAGCAATCTAGTTATTCAATGAGGGGAAATATTTCTAGCAATAAACTTGATGCGCTGGGCAATGTTGTACCTGACATTACAATTTTTGTGGTTCATCTCAGTATGGCAGAATTCCTGTCATACCAACATAATTTGGACTTTGTAGTATCTAGTACAGCAACAGACGATACTGGTATCGGTATTTGATATTTTAATACGTCTTTGTATCTTCCTTAAAGCTTGTATTAATATATCCATTTTGTGTCAAAAATATATGTTTGTGTATCCATTTCATTCTGTCTTCACTCATAGGTTCTGGTTCACCAAACAATTCTGATGATGATCAAAAAGTGAATAATTTTATAGAAAAGGGTACAGTATTTTTCTTTTTTATAGTCTTACTTTTTCTTCAGTTCATCCTTTGATACACTTAGATTGATCTTTTTTATTAAAATATTATTTACAGTGAAGACCAAAAGCAGAAAGTTTTCCAAGATGGTAGCCAATGACATAGGTAGGAACTAGAAAAATTCTGCTCTTTTCCTAATCCAGTGCCTTATCCTATGCACCACTAACCCAGCAGCAAAAAAAAAAAAAAATTCAAATTTTAATGCATTAAATTATTAATTTTTCATTCTTTATGCTAATTGGTGATTCTATGGGCTGCTTCTGTACTAAATACACTGGGCACAATGATTTTTAAAAAAATCAAAGATATTGTGGTTCTCTGATCTTACAATTGCACTTCTCTATTTTCTGGATGGGTGAAATTCTAATCCGTACTAAGAGTTCAGTCTATGCAAGTCACAACATTATTCCACTACTTTTGCAAAGGTACACTTCCTTTGAGAAAACGTGGCTGATTTAATTTCTTTTTATGTTCTGCATTTGTAGCCATATGGTCAAATTTCCATATGACTATGGCCAAGATAGAAGTAGTATTGTGTTTTCATTTGATCATCTGGAGAACTTGGTCATGTATGTGTGTGTGTATATATATATATAAGTAGACTCCATTACTGGTCCAGAACAATATTTACTTCTCTGCGTCCAACAGTGACACAAAACCCTACCACCTCCAGACCTGTGTCTTAATGATATGGCAACAAAATTGCCTTGGAATATGTTGTATGCAGGTAGATTGAACCCTTTTATGATTGGAATGGAAATTAACTCTGCTTCTGACAATTGGGTCATTAAATAAATGAAGGCAAGAGGGTGTATGATTTAATTTTGGGAAAGGGACTCTTCCTTAACTGGGATGTGGTTATTTTCATTTCAGAGTCACTGTGTTAATGGTTCATTTTGTTTTTGTTTAGTACATGAATATACCATTGCAGGAGGATTTTATTTTATCTCTTTAGTTAGATCAAAAGGTTGAAACTACTTCAGATAGTAAGAGTGTTTGCTAAACTGCTATTCCATAAGTCACATTGAACTATAGGTTAAAACTAGGGAGGAGGAGATTTCTTTTCCTGTAGCCTCCCTTTCACTTGCTGTTTGGCAATTTAACTTTTCATCACAATTCAGTAATTGATAAGAAGAATCCAAATTCAGTGAGATAAATAGGAGAATGATGAGGTCGTCTTTGGAATCTGAGGTATAGAATGACAAAGAGCAAGAATATGCCCTTTGCTCAGTACTGTGTTGAGACCTCCTTGCTGTGATAATATAAATGCTAGGGAAGGTGAGCTCTGAAACAGTGAAAGCCTGAGTATAATTTCAGAAAGCAATCAAAGGCTGTCAATAATGTGTTATGTCAGTTCATCTGTCATTAAAATGTATGTATATAATTTACATGCGTACTGTTTAATATGTTCTCCTGAAGGAAATTCAGGTTAAGTAGAGACTTATGTTCTTTTAATAAGAAAAACAACAGTTCTTTTTGGCGTGTTATAACAATTCCTGGTGATGTAGTATTTCCCTTTTGTTCCAAAGCAGTCTTTTCTGAACTTAAGACAGCCTATCTTGTGCAAAAAACAGTATGTTTGAGTATGACTTGCTTATTTTTTCACTTTTTTTCAAAGAGTGATGTTAAAGTGTTAATAAAACATGCTAATGACAATTCTATAGAACTGTCGACATCTGTTTCAGCTTCAAGCCTTTCAGCTGAAAGTATTGTGAATGTTTTTCACAACCAAAATGCAAAACATTTATTTACAAGTAATGCATTCTTCAGGATGTAAGTTAAACACAGAGTTAATTGAGACAATAATGCATTTTATGTGTCATTTGTGTGTGTCTTCCAGTCAGCCCATACTGTGATTTGTGTAACTTGCACAGTTCATTGGAACTTTAAAGAAACTCAGTTATTTCGTCTCCATTCTCTTAGAGTTTTGAGTGGTTTGATGCTGTGAAGGGAATGGTTTTTTTCACTGAGGTGTTTTCTGTACCTGATCTCGCATGTTTACTATGCATGGCTCTTTCTGAACTTACATTCAAAGCTCTTCCACATAAGTAAAACATCTCTTCTTTGGTCTTAATAGTTGCATGTTTTTGCATTTCATTGTTTTAAACTGAATTGCCAACTAAATGTGTAAATGAGTTTTGTAAAATGTGTCACTTACTGTCATTAACTTTGCCATTTTGTATGAAAGAAATTGTTTACCATCAGCTGTGTTCACATGGAAGAATTTGATGTATGTAGCATGGTTGTAGCTCTTCACACTGACTTATAGTGCAATCAGTTCAAGTTCCTTCCATCCTTTGTCAATGTCTGGAATATAATCTGTCAAATAGATTGCGAAGCAGAACAAGAATTCTTTACATTGATAATTTAGTTTGCTCTTAATTAATATCACTCCTGTGGTTTTTGTCCTATGGGAACAGTGAGTTAGTGGGTACTGCTGGCAAAGTGAGAAGTAATTTGATTTCAGTGATAGGGCTGTAAGGTAGTAATACACATGCATTTAAAAATAGAAAGCCATTGTCAATTTCATCACTTTATTGAAATTTGTTTAGAGACATCTTCATTTCTACAGATTTGTCATTGTTGACAGTATCAGACAGCATCATTCTTGCTTCATTAAGGATCAAAAGCCACCTAAGAGTGCAACAATAGCATAAATTAAAAAAAAATTAAATTTATAAATAATATATAATTTATAAGTAATATCAGTAGACTGATCTAAGCAGAGTAGCTTTAATTGCAAATTTCTATTTTCCCTGCTGTTAGATTTTTTTCAAACAATGCTGAAGTCATTCACTGTTAATGCTGTTTTCATGGAATCAAAGCTTAGGATCCTCATAAGAAGTTCTCATTTTCCCTAATGCCAGAGTAAGACTTTTTTCCGAGATGTTCTTAATAATCTGATCTAATTTTGGATATATCAAGTACATCTTTTCATACATTCTCTTGTAAAATGGTTTTATTGTTCTTATATCAAACTTAGAGATATCAGCATTGATAATCTGTGTCTGCATTGTATTGTCACCACTGAAATATTTATTTCTTTAAGCATCTTGAAATTGGTAATGTGATTTTTTTCACTTTTGTGTAGCTGTCAAATAGAGAATAATTTTGGTACTTTGTTATGTCTGACAAATTCTAAGCTGCTTAGTTGTTTCTCATGAAATGTTAAATGAAATAGCCTTTATGTAAAGTGTTAATTCTTGTCTGTCAAAACAGCAAGATGCTTGTCTCCTTTATAGTCTTTAGAATATTTTTTTAAAGGGTTTAGACTGTTTCCCTAAATGGGGAACATATAAGAAATCACTCTTTAGCTATCAAACTGATATGCTAGACATTGTAAAGCATCAGCTCAGGATAAGCCACTGCAAACGAAATGTAACTCTTACTTTTAAGCCACAGCTTCCTATTGATAGTTCAGTCATGTCTCAGCCTTCAGATTTTCTTCATTGAATGGTTGAGTCTGCTATGCTGAAACATAACATGCTATGCCAAGGTAACCTTTCATATTTTACTGCCTGCCCCCTCAAACCTGGCCTAAGAGAAATCTCCAAGAATCCTGAAGGTTATTTTTCGGGCAGTTCTCTAATATCATACTTTTATATCATTTAATTATATTTATATTAACAATAAAAGGTGTGTGTGTGCCTGTGTATGACTCTAGGTTTTCTGATTTAGGGGAGTATTAAGCATAGGTCTAAACACAGGCAAAACAGTCACTGTTGCCTTGAGCAGCAGTGTGCCGGAAGGAGCTCCCCAGTCTGTCCCATTGTCTCACACCAGCTGAAGAAGGGTAGTCTTGGCTGTAAGTGCTGCAGCAACCAACACCACCACCAAGAGAGGTATTAAACTCTGATATGACAGCTACTAGTTGAGGTCAACCATACCCAGCAGGAGCAGTCACCATTGCCTTTGCCCTGTTGTACAACTGGAGTAAAAAGCCTGACATAGAGTGCTGTCTCTGTAGATCTCCATCCTGTCTTTTCCATTTCTCTGATGTGTATCTTTTGTGTTGTAGTAGTTGTATAGCATGTTGCTGGCTTTCATCTGAGACATAGAAAAACAGAATTTTCCAAAACTATTGCAAACCATAAGCCAGATATGAATACAAGCGGGATTTTTTTATACTAAGTAATGTTAGTTAAAAAAGGCTTAGCTGGCAAAATATTCCTATTTTCTTACTGTGTCTTTAGGCACTTTTTCATCTGAACACAAGATGGCACTGCTGCTATTTAAATAGGTTCTTATTTCCTATTTACATTTGAATTGTTGAGGTTTTTGACACATTAATGCAAGTTTTGAAAGTTATTATTTTGGATAGCACATTCATTCCCGATTTCTAGCAATGACATCCTTTTCAACAATTTGTGTCCTCTTGTCCTGTTAATGAGACATAGTTCTGTCTTTATAGAAAATGATGTCTGACAAATTTGTTTTACCTTATCAGCATAGTTCACACAGCTGGCCTTTCACTAAGGAGCCAAAAGCTAAAACTGTGGATTGATTACTAGAATCCAACACACATGCCTGTACTTGTTATAAACTGCAGTATTACTGGTTTCCTAGTATCTTTTTTTTTTTCTCTAAGTTGTTAAAACTGTGCATCAAACATTTCTGTTTGAAAAACCAAAATTGATGGCTCTGGTCTTCAAAGTGACTAACTAAACTAAGCCTTGCTGGTATTCACATGTGGTAAAAGCTGTGAAAAACCAAAACCAACACATTCTTTTCTGTGTGCATAGTTCAGCTCTTGGTCAGTATTTCAGCTCTTATGATTTACATGTCTAACACAGAAAACAAATCTTATGAGGAACACTCATCTTGTAATTCACAGTTCGAAATCTCTTTCATGATCTCTTTTCAAGCTGATGTAAGCTCAAGCTGAGAGCAGAAAGACGGGTTCCTGGTTGCTACTGCTGTTTTGTACCATGGTTTCTGTGTGTATAGCTGTGCTCTGATCTGAAACAGGAGTTGATCTTGGAAATGTCCCTTGGCAGAACTTCATTTCACTGACTTCTGGCCTCACCATGAAGCTAGGCAGATGCCAGTGCAAGGATGAGGGTAGTGGGACTGCCTGTTTCAGTTTCAGCCTGCACTAAAATGAGTCAAAGGGACTAGCGTATCAGTCTGACACTAAGTAATTTAAGTTCAATTTAAATAGGACATACTTTGTACCATTGACACATGAAGGAAATTAGAAGATTATTTCTGGAGTCCTATTCTCAAATTTTTATAATGTATGACAGGAATAAAACTGTTCAAGTATTCAGATAACTAGCATTTGCAATATTGATGAGCATGATTAATGATACAATGAAGTATTTCACTTTTTGAAAGAGTGGAAGTAACTTTAAATCACATGCCGTTCTTCAGGATATGTAGATAATGGGATGATCTCTGTTAAAACGGTAATTTGAATGAGTTAACTCCATTTTTAGCTGAGAAGCAGCAAGATTCAGGCTGCTTTAGGACTGAAATCCATTACAGGCTACTCTAGAATTACGAGGCTATTCTCAACATCTACTTTAGGTAGAGAAGTATTACCCTTATAAGATAGTGAAGAATTAAACGATATATCAAAATTCAATCATGTGTCTGGGAATTAAATTCAGAGTCTAGCTCTTGTCTAATTGTTAAACTACATCAAAATTACTACTTCTCCAGTAATTGCTGAAAGAAAGGTGGAAGAGGGTTGTATGGCTACTAGTTTGCTAGTGACTTTTATTATAGCAGCATTTGTTAGTACCACAATTTAAATGGACTGCAAGATTTCTGTTCCTGTTAAGAGATTTTTCCAGGTCAGGAATGAGTTAAAGTGCTATTTCTTATTGTGGCAATATTATCAAAATTATACTATCTTTTGTTTGACAGTGTTCCAAGCATTTGTATGCTTCTGCTTTTATAATTATTCTATGTAATGTCTTCATTCTTCTAAAGTTATGGACTGCATCTCAGATTACTAGTTTTTTTACATGTATGCATTAGTGTTTTAGCATAATTGAAAGTTCATCTTTAAGTACCTCAGGTTTGATCAGAAAGTAGGGCAGAAGAAGAGGGGATGTGATGTGAACTTCGTGTAAACCTTAGTGCACATTCTTGCAGTAGCCAAGAGTCTGTGTTCTGTTCTCTCACCTGAGGAGATAAAACTTGAAGTTGAGCCAAAGCAAAATTCATCCAACCCATCAAGTTCTGCCAGAGGAGAAATGAGGCTTGGCAAAAGTAATAAAATACTGTATTTGGGGATTTTGTTATCTTCCATGTTTTACTCTGCACCTTTCCCTTGTGGAAGTGGGACTTTGCTTTAGTAGAAATCCTGTTAAATACTGCAATTAATGTAAAAAGCAATTATATATTAAATATTGGGAAAGAGGCAAATAAAGGCCAGCAGAATCATGTCTATTCTTTTTAAAAAAAAGATATACTTCACTTTTCAGCAAAGATGTCCAGGAAGCTAAGTTTGCCAACTGAGTTAAAGCCTGATTTAGGTAAGTTTACATAGTTGGTTTTATTTTTCTAAAACTGTTTTACGGAACGCAATGCATGTTAGAGTCCTACGTTATATAAACTGTTGTGACTTCCTTGCATTTATCTGAAGTGTAAAACTAAAATTTGAATTCCGCTCTTTCTGGGGAATCTCAGGCACAAAACGTTATTGCTGTCATTTGCAGGTAAGCCTGCAAATCTTGTACGTGGCTTACGCACTTTCATCAAAATTTTTAAGCATCTGCCACTCACTGTATCAGTAGTGCTGTGATAGCAAAAGCATGAATAAGGAGATAATGTAAGGAAAACTGCTGCCTATTTAGGAGCATTAGGACCACATTTTAAATTGAAAAATGAAATATCTTAAGAATAACAGCAGATGTTGAGGTCCACTCAACATATAATTGGACATAGTTTTACAAATGTTAATTGTCTTGTGACCACTCTCTCTAAATGAAAATTATATATAGCTGTTTGGATGGATGACCAGTCTGAGAATTTCATTGTTCTTGAAAAAGCACAGTACCTTTTCATGTCAGAAGCAGTTCATATGTGAAGTCTGTAGTACTAAAGGTCACTATATTGCATAACTAAAACAGCATACAAATGAGTAGATTTATTAATTTTAGTACTCTGTCATCAAAAGTTGACTGCCAGCTTGTAGATGAGTTCCAGCTCCCCTGCCTTGTTCTTTAAAGATGATGGAAGACAGCTGTAGACCTACAGCAGTAGACGTAGCCTGAATGTGGAAGCTGTCTTCTGCCTGCCACAGCTCGCTCCCCTCTTGCAGCAGAATTGCTACAACAGCCCCAGCAGAAGACAGGCCAGAATCAGACTGGCAGCTGCAGAACTATGTGTTTGACAACTGCTATCAGCAAGGAAAGAGTCCATGGCACTGGGATGTCCTGAAACTGAGCAGGACCACCCTGACTTACAATTACAGCTTGCTCCACTCAAAGAAATGTGAAGTTGGAAAGAACCCTCAGAGATCCTTTAATCCATTGCTATGGCAAGGATCCAGATGTCTGACAATTTAACCTCTCATCTGTTCATGAGCCTCCAATAAATAAGTTTTTAGAAAAATCCCAGACAGAAAGTTCCAACATCTTATAGTCAGACAAATTTTCTGTAATTTAATCAATCTTCCCTCCTTCCACGTTAACTTTTTCTCATGCTTTCCACAATGAACAGGGATAACAAGGGCTCCTTATCTCTATTAGCCGTGTTTTATGCTGTTGAAAGCTGTCATTGTATCTCTAACCTCCGTTTTTGCAGATAACCTTTTTACGAAATTAAGTTCCTTCTCTTTTCTTAGGTTATGTTGTCTAAATCTAGGATGGTTTCTCTTAATCTCCTCTTGGGATTCTTCCTGATCTCTATAAAACTCTCATGCCCAGAACTAGAAGGATTTAACTGTGGCCTCGTTGGCAAGAAAGAGCATAAAAATTTGATTTGTCTTTTAAATCTGTGTCTGTTCTTCTTTACTATGTTTTCTAATGGTTTAGGGATGACTTTGGTTTAGTGTGAATTTTACCATACTGTACAAACTGGAATACATTCATACTTGAATATTACACAGTTCATTCCAATTCTGATGTTTTTTTACTCCCAGTTCTTTGATAGCAATAATTACTTAGAAATGCCCTTTTTTAAATAAAGACTGGAAAAAAGAGAATGCTGAAATTCTTTCAGCATTTTCTAGTTCATTTAATATTTGCTGTTCTTCCTACTGAAATAATGGAGTTTTCTTGTGATCTTACTTCCACTATACTTGTAAAATAGTTTGTACTTTCTGAATTGTAATAGCCTTTGAGTGGTGTTTCTTGATTTTGCACACATGTGGATATCTACACTTAGATGGCTCATTCTGTTCTCTGTAAAATTCTTCTAGTTCTTTGGGTCTGTAAGTAACTTAGGCAATTATAATTATTTCTTTTTATTTTACTTCTATTTGTTCTCCTGGTGGGATAGCTTTTCCATAGTGTTCTTCAGAGATTATGAGCTTGCTTGTAATTTTTTTGTCATGGATGTGGCCATACCTGCTGGCTCTAGGAGGCAGCTGAAATACCTTTCTCCCAAGTTCATTATCTCTATTTTCTTTCCTCTTCCATGGCTTCTTGAAACCTACTTTTGTAGTCTTGTTCTTACAAGTTACTCTTCTGTCTTTAGATATCTTTTCCTCCCTAAGCAGCCAAAACAAAATCTAAAGTATGTGCTTCTGTATTTATCTTTCACTTTCCAAAACAGAAGTTATCTTGAACATACTCTAGTCTGCATTACACCATTGCTTTTCAGTGTTGTAATCTAGATGATTAAGGTACCATCGCCACCAGGTCCTTGCTCAAAAGAGCTGTACCCTTTCCATCCTTCTCATAGTGGTGTGTGGTGGGTCATCACACTGTTGTTCCTTCCTCTGAAACCGATCAGTTACAAACCATAGATTCTTCCTTGACTTCAGGATAAATAAGATGCATTAAATCAGTTAAACTCTTTACTGCCAGACCTCTCTTCTGAACAAGTTGTCTGCTCTCCACAATCCATATTGGCTGGCAAGTTAATTTTTATGGGGTTTTCTCTGTCTATTCTAATGCTTCTGGAATTTGTACATATGCTCCTCAAATAGTCAACCTGATGCAACTCAACAAATGCACATTTAATTTTATGCGTGCTGCAATTAAGGTATGATTATATTCAGACTGATTTATCCATGTAAGAGTTGAAAAAGCATTGTTGGCAAATATTCAAGCCTGAAGAAGCAAGCATCTTAAGAGGCTGTGGTCATTAGAAGAATTATAAGAACAAATAATAGTTTTCGTTGTTTTACTCTAGATTTTATTATTTTTTTTAATGTGTAAACTTAAGATGTCAAGATATCTGAGTGGTTGACCTAGTTTCTTTCTCTAATCCATGTTTTACACTTGACTTAATTTAAAATTTGGCAGGACAATAATTTTTCTATCCTTGTTGGAATGAGACAAGTATCTCCTGAGAGGATGCACTGTTTGTGTTGTGTAGATGTCTGTATTTAGTCAGTTGAAATCTAGTTTGTATGTTTGTCAAATGCATGTTAGATGTTCTTTGTAGAAAGTTTTTGCAATAACTTAATGAAACTATCATAGTGAAACTTCCAGAAAGTATGTGGTTAAAATTTTGTTCTTTAGCTCTTAATCCTGCTTTAAAGATGCCTAACATATATATACCCAACACAAAGATTCAAAACAATAACTTAAGTTTTTAAAAATTATAAATATTGCATGAAACTTTTACTAGCAAGTGTTGTCTTGTGCTGAAGCTTTGGAATGATGAGTTAAGTAAAGCACTAATTGGTGAATGCACAGATAAATTCAGACATGCTGATATGTTAAGAATCACCACGTGTACAAACAGCACACCGTTAGAATGGAGCAGCATGTTTACTGGTTTGAGCTTTTTTAATATTAGAATTCATTCTCTGTTACAAGAACCTCATTTACTAAGCAGTGAGCAAGACATCCTGTAAAGTTTTAGTGCTGTTTCCTGCCCTACAGTACAGTATTCAAAATGGAAGTCTTTGGCTCTGCGTACCAGTGCCAGGTGGTGTCTGGTAGCATTTGATGTTTCTTTCACTAAAAGTTTGTGTGTGAGTAAATAGCCTGTTAGATGTTCTCCATACAGTTTCCTCAAATGGGACAATATTATGGTGAGTCATTACAGTTATGTGTTATCACGCTGTCTGGATTTCACTGCAGTTTTTAAACTAAAATAGTTGCATCTTCATAAGATTATTAAACTGTGTTCCATGGAAGCCAGTGTTTTTTAATCTGATAAATGAACTAATTGGCTGAGTTCTGAAATATAATTTTTTTTAAAAGGAGGGGTCCTGTTTGATGGTAATGTTATTCTCTGTCCCAAGAAGACAGAAATATGCATAACAATTGTTTGTGACAATTACCGAACAGCAACCTCTGCAAAAATAGATTGGGTGCTTTGTTCAGAATACAGTGTTGAAAACTGGGCTGAAAGAAAATATGACTCAGAATAAAAGAGTAATCATCAGTAGAATGATAGTATAAACTTCACGCTAAAGAACAAAAAAGAAAATCTGAGTTCTCTCAATGCCTGCATTTTGCCATTCTTTTCATTAATACTGATTTATTTTCAGATGTCAAAGACAACTCTTTCAGTCGATCCCGGAGTTCTAGTGTAACTAGCATTGATAAAGAGTCCCGTGAGGCCATTTCAGCTCTTCATTTTTGTGAGACTTTCACAAGAAAGGCCGATACATCACCTTCCCCATGCCTGTGGGTTGGGACCACGCTGGGTACAGTGCTTGTCATTGTACTGAACTTACCCCCAGGAGGAGAGCAAAGACTTCTTCAGCCAGTAATTGTTTCTCCTAGTGGTACGTACAAAGCAGATGGGCCAAAGAATACTTTCATAAAGTAGTGGTGGTGGTCTTTTCCTAAAAAGAAACTTTTCCTCAGTCATGGGCTAATTGAAAGTTAAATGGTTTAGCTTCATTGGTTTAGCTACTAAGGTTAACAATATAGATTAGTTATTACCAGAGTTTTTAAGTTGCAAAGTTGAAAATATGGTCACATTTAATATAAAAATACCACTAATATATACTTACTGAGAAAAACATGTTTTCTAGCCTTTAATGTAGTACATGGCAATTGTTAAACAGAAATAGCAGAACATGTGAGTACTTCAAATGCTCCATTTATTTTTATTTTTTTTAACTCTTGAGGTTGAAAACTTTCAGTTTTCCTGCATCATAAAAACGGAATACAAATTAGTGATAAAATATTCCTTTGGATTGCTGTGAGAGGTCTTGTATCTTGTTTTTCTGATACACAGCAACTGCTTTTGTTGTAATTATGTATTAATGGTTTGCTGACTGTGCTGTTAGGCATATACTTAGCTTCCCTGCTACCACTGTCTCATGCAGAACATTTAGCTGTGTTCCGCTTTGCTCGCACAGATGGTATCAGGACATACAAATTACTGTGCTATTTGATTGAAATAGGGATTAGGAATAGTGTGACCTCTAGACCATGTTTGATTTGTTCTCATCAAGTATGGTATTGGCCGCAGCATTTGGATTTGGTAACATTTGATCATAAAGGCAAGGCTGCAGGCTGGACACTGTTTTATCACTGGATCTGCAGCATGAACCCCAGAAGATGCTGCCATATCTATGATATTTTTTTTTTGTATGTGTACTTAGCAAATGTTCATGCTTTTACTTGCATGTGAATAAATGAAAGTAAAATAAGAAATGTATTAGCTTAAGATCTGGCCTGCAGAGACAGTGATTTAAACAGTGGGGAGGGAAAACCTTCCCTCTTTCATTTTATGCTAGAGAGGAGTGGATTCAAGCATGAACAGCAGCAGAAAAAAACCCTCATGTTGTGTGTGTCTGAACCTGTCTGTATTGAAGAAAAAGGAAGCACTTGCCTTTGACTAAGCATTTATTGTTGATATTAAGCACAGTGTCTACTCCTTAGGAGAGAATTGTATTTGTGATGCTGAGCTTGAATACAAATGTGCATTACAGCTTGGCTTTCTTAATAAATGTATACGTTTCCTTTGAAGTTAATGGAGGAGTATGCATACACTTAACCCTTGAAAACGGGTTTAACATTTTCTTGAATATGTATGTGCTTTTGCACTGCTTCATTGGGTTTTAGATAAACATCCAAAGGTTTTGGTATGTCTGTTCTGCTACAGAGCTTGCCTAGGTTTTTGTTTTCCTTTTGTTTTGTTAGCTTCTTAAAGGTATATTTTGTAGCTTGAAAGACAATTGAGAAGAGCTGTCTTAGAAATGTGCTCAACTTCTTTATCCTAGGAACTATCCTGAGGCTAAAAGGGGCAATCTTGAGAATGGCTTTTCTGGATACCACAGGATCTCTGGTCCCACCAGCACATGAACCATGGAGAGAACACAATGTTCCTGATGATAAAGATGAGAAAGATAAATCGAAGAAGCGACGACCTGTCTCAGTATCCCCCTCTTCCTCTCAGGAAATCAGTGAAAACCAATATGCAGTGATATGTTCAGAAAAGCAAGCAAAAGTTATCTCACTGCCATCCCAGAACTGTATTTATAAGCAAAACATAACAGAGACTTCTTTTGTTCTTCGTGGAGACATAGTGTCATTGAGTAACAGTATCTGCCTTGCATGTTTCTGTGCCAATGGACATATTATGACTTTTAGGTAAGACCTGTTTGATAGTAACTTAGATATAAAAAAGAACAAATAGTCTTCTACTAGATAAGAAGTTTCCTTTTCCATAAGAATATGAATTAAAATCTGCATTCACTTAGTGTTGATGAACTTCTAACACATGGGCCTGGATAATTTTGATTATTCATACCTATTAGTTATGCCTTCAACACATGAAAAAGTTTACAAGTTTAGCTCAAGCTACCCTGATTCAACAAATAGTTCCAAATGTGTGATGTAGGTCCTTGAGTGGATGAAGATTCTCAAATGTGAATTTATTCTCTGATGGAGAAAATTGCCGTGAGTCATACCTTCACTTGGTACCTGACCACACTCTGCCTATTTTTGTGCAGCTATTTGCATCACACTCATGCCTCTAGCTTATTTTATTGTTAGAGAGCTTGATTGTGTCTTAAAGGCCTTAAACTCAGGCTATAAGGACAAGATTAATTAATAGCATTTGTTTTATAGAAATAAACCTCATACTTTAGATCACTTCAGTTACGATTTTAAATATGTATAAAGGTAATGTTTGATTGTACTTAAATGTCACTTATGTAACTTTAACATGTCCTTTTTCTTTAATATTTCCAAATGCTATTATTCTGAATAGCAATGTGTATATATCTATACACTTGCACCTACATTTTAGTCCTCGCTAATGTTAAGATGAATATGGAACATGGCATTATACAATTATGCCAATAAAACTCCTAAAAGGTCGTTTTTAAGGTTGTGAAAACAAGCTCTCAGCTTGGGAAATACTGTAAAAAAAGATGCTTCTTCAGGAAGCTCTTAGGAATAAACCTAAAGCTGATCTGATGCATGCTACAATTAAAAATGTTTTGATTGGTAAATCTATTAACTCTATTGATCTATATCCCAATGTATTTTCTAAACATGTCTAGAAAATGCTGCTCACCTTGCAGGGCAAACGTGCTTTTTATCCCTAGTGAAAATTGAACTTAATGTTCAGATACCATATATTCAAACAAATCCTGTTTTCCACAGGATTCATTTTGTTTTCTAAAGAACTTTGCATAGAGGTAGGTGCTAAATTATAAATATTTAATTGTTACATTGTGTAGGGAAGTTGAACTCCCGAGTATTAACTCCATAAGCATGCATTGCTGCTGGGAAGTGGATTTAATGTGCTGGTTTTGTAAAGTGAGAGCATTTTATCATACCCAAGATGCCCAATACTTATCTACTGATATAAATTTAGATAGGACTTACAATTCTGTTAAATTTGAAAATGCTGTCATGGATGTCATGCTTATCCTATCTGAGCTAATGTTTTTGTGTTTTGTGTTGAAGCTCCAAGGATGTTTTATGCTTCCATCGGTCTGAAGCAAAGCACTTCCCTGTTACTAACTCACTCTTATGAATATTCTTATTTTAGATACATGCATGGCAAAAGTGTCATTTCTGGGTGATGTGCTTACAAGATAATATTGCTTTTTATTTCTTAGCTGTAGAACTTGCCTCCACAGTCATGTTACCTGTTCTCCTTCCTTTTGTTTGTTGTAGATTAAATCTGCTAAGATACAAGTCACAATCTGTAAAATGCAAACTTAATTTTTTGAAATTTTGGTATCATACCAGGGGAAAAAAACAAAACAAAAACACTAAAAAGCCAACACTTACTGTTGCAATTACTACATCTTTCTGTTTCGTTGCTTTCGGCTTTACTTTGCCCTTTTACTGCTTTTTTTAGCTTCTAGAAATAACTTACGTAGATGATAGCTGCAGCAGAAGCTACTTAATGTATTGTCAGTAGATTTGCAGTTAACATCTTGTGTAAATTATATTTTTACAAAAATTTCACAGGGGATGTTTTTGAGACTGGGTGTTTTGGGTTCTCTATCACGACATCAGGTGTTCAGTCATTTCTTGCATTTATTATTACTTTGAGGGAGAGGAATGTTTGGTAGCAAGAGCGTTGTTACAGCCTGAGTGCATCTGTTCTTCAGTAGCTTGATGCAGTAGGTACTGCAGATACATGTGCAGAATCAGAAAATACAAGGTAAGCAAACTTTGCTGTAAGAGGACTTCCTCTTAAATATGCAATCAGACAGAGAAGGTGGACATAATTCATAAGACTGTTCTTTGAGGCTACTGAATTCTGTTTTCCTTAGAAAGCACGTGTGTATTTCCAGGTGGTCTTGAGGAAAGATCTTTTAGTCTTGCATTTTTAGTCAAGGAGAAATTCTTTACCTGAGAGAAGAGGTTGGGTGTTTAATTGTAAACTTTTGGTAGCTGCTTATCAAAATACTTCTTTAGTAATTACTGAATAATGCTTTAAGTCAGTCTGTGATTTACATGCTCAGAGTATCATTTAAATGATACTTTTCAATGTGTCTGTTTTGATTTTGTAATTGCATTAAATTGATACCCTCTTTATCTGGTACTTGCACAGATGGTGAAGAGAAAAATAATATATTGCAGTTTAGAAATAAGCCATTTGATCAATAATAGACAATCCTGCTATACTTAGTGGTGTTTTTTTTTATTTTTTTTTCTTAAGTTTGCCAAGTTTAAGGCCATTGTTGGATGTATATTACCTGCCACTCACCAATATGCGGATAGCCAGAACATTCTGCTTCACCAATAATGGACAAGCACTCTATCTTGTCTCACCGACTGAGATACAGAGGCTCACCTACAGCCAAGAAACATGTGAAAATCTTCAGGTAATAAATTAAAAAAAAAAAACAACACCAAAAGTGTTTCTTAGATTCTGAGGTTCTCGGTTCTAGATTCACAAAGCTTACAGTAATTTTGTCATCAAAACTGTTTCTTAGATTCTGAGGTTCTCAAAGAGATTCACAAAGCTTACAGTAATTTTGTCATAAAGCTTAGCACTTTGGCTTTTGTGCTTTGATTTTTCTCACTGTAGAGTCTGATTCAGGGTGGATCACTTCTTGTCTTAAATTTTACTGATTCATCCATCCTCTTGCATTTGAAAGAGTTTCATACTTGATTTCTTTTTTGATTGATAGGAAACTTCCTTGTTTAACATGTGCAGTTAATAAAATTCCATTGTTCTGTTGATGCTGGTGCGGTGCCTGCTGACACAAGGGAATGCTAACTCAGGATACTTGAAGGAAGTTATTAGGCTTCAGGGATATTAACAGCTTGAAAAGGTTCTCAGCTGTGCTTCAGCTTGGAAGTTGTACAGAATACTGAAATAGCAGAGATGCAGCCTGTAAGCTCTACTTTTGTACCACGCATGAATATGAGCATTCGGAGATAAAGTTTTAACAGAACAAAATCAGGAGTGTTGCCCAGGTTGTTGAGGGGCAAATACACCTTTACTTGAACCCATTTCTTTGCTACTAAATTTCATGAGCTACAAGCTTGCAACTCTCGGATTTCTTAATAAGCTTTTAGTTTTTATTTCCTAAGTTGCCTTCGAAGATAGATGCCTATTAAAGCATATTTATTTTGTAATCCAAATCCATGAAATATATCCTTGAAGTGAAAGAATATTCCATTAATTTGTGTGTGAAATAATGTATGTCTTATATGTGTCTGTTCTTCATTGCAAAGGAAATGTTGGGTGAGCTCTTCACTCCTGTAGAAACACCAGAAGCACCGAACAGGGGGTTCTTTAAAGGCCTGTTTGGAGGTGGAGCACAGTCACTTGACAGAGAAGAACTCTGTAAGTTTTTTTGTGTTTGTTATTTCTCTGATTTTTCTACCCAGGGAAACCAATGATCCGTGAGAAATGTGTTACTTGTGTTAATAGAACATTACATTTGCAAAGAGGAAAGTAAAGGAAATTACATGCTTTTTCATAGCTTTTTTGTGTTGTACACCTCACCAACAAGATCAGAAAGGCTTGGTACTGTTTTCTTACAGACTCCTTTCTCATCTATTCAGGAATAAATTATAAAGCAAGAAATGGAACAGCTGACCTTGTTTTTATTCATCTTTATGAAGTACTGACAATGATTTTCAAAGTGCTGTTAGGCTGAAAGGGACTGGTTCTGAAGAACACTATTCTGGACAGTGACAAAATTAAAACTCCATTCTATTTCAGTTCATTTGTGATATTCTTTTTTCTCATTTGAGTTGTGCAGAGATGCCTTAGGAATGAGAGCAAGAACAGAACTTTATGATGGTTCAATACAGTCCTCTGCTCATAGGACAGTAAAACTTATATTTGTCAAAGTTCTTATTGCTTTATCATTTCCTCATATTTTTTTTTATGATTAATTCATATTTAACGTGACGGTCAAAGCAGAGTCTCCAATAAGTGAAATGATTTCTTTTTTATTCTTAGGAATTCACAGAAAGATGTTTATAGTGTTAGTTGAAATCTAAATCTTTCTTCCTAGAATCATAAAATCAAATCAGAACATTTTGAAGTACTGCAGTAAAACTTGTTTAAATAAGTTAATATTACTTTTCCTGGATGTGAAAAAAAAAAAATTAAATAATAATTTCATTGTTTATAAAAAAGGTAAAGATTATTTGATTTGACTTTGGCACCCAAAAATGTTTTTGCCTTCACTCAAATTTTTGTACAGTATACAATTCAGCATAAGATTGGCATCTCCTTTTAAGTGTCGAGACTGAACTAGGTGGCTGATGTCCAATTATGAGCACAGGAGATGTAGTTGGTGCTGTCACTGGAGTCTAGAGAGCTGTTCAGCTGACCAGTCACGAGTGTTTACTTCAGGTGATTTGTTCTTACAGCTGTACTGCCTTTTCATGATTTACATTACATGGCTTTTTTGACAAGATTTTTACAATAATGAGAGCACAGACACATAATCTTCAGGTGTCTGCATCTAAAACTGAACTTCCATCAAAGGAAACTTCCGGTGGAGTCATGCTGGCTGGCTACACCAGCAAAGCACTTCCAGAATTGACCACAACTTGTATTTTCAAAATTAAATTCTCTTGCTCTGTCTGTTGAACTCCCAATACCTCCCCTGTGAAGTAAGCTATGTTGTTAAAAGCCACTTCACCAGCACAATGCTCGTGATGACCACAATGCCAGCACTGGTGAAAGAGTTTTAATTTCACACTTGAGCCATGAAAAGTCTAGAATTTTATAACCTGCCTGCAAACTCAGAAATATTTTGAAAATACATAGTAACATACAGTAGTATTTATAGACTACGTTGCTTGTAGTCATGCCTATGATTAAGTGTTTGGTGTGTATGCAAAGAAATGACACCTCTTTATGAACTAGTTACATTGGTATTTATGTAATAATCATAGAAAGCCTTACTATTCTGTCTTTGCTGTTTTGCAAATGCCTCCAGTTGGAGAATCAGCATCTGGGAAGGCATCAAGGAGTCTTGCCCAGCATATTCCAGGGCCTGGGGGTATTGAAGGTGTCAAAGGAGCAGCATCTGGTGTAGTTGGTGAACTAGCACGAGCCCGGTTGGCACTAGATGAAAGAGGACAGAAACTAGGAGAACTGGAAGAAAAAACTGCAGCTATGCTTTACAGTGCTGATTCTTTCTCAAAACATGCTCATGAGGTGAGTCTGTTACATGTTTAGCTAACATTAAACTGATTCTCCATCAAATAAATGCAAGTTTTGTGAGTAACTGACATCTGCAAAGGCATGTTACAGATACCTAATGAGAAAGCAAATCAGTCAATCATTACTCCTAATTATTAAGTATTAATGCAAACAGCTTTGTCTTCTGGCATGTTGGTCTGGAGCACACCCTCTGCCTGAGTGGCATGTAGACTTCCAAAAGTGTAGCTCAGTTCCCATTACTTAAAAAATTTGGTACTGAATTAGGTAAGAGTAATGTTTTCTGAGATTCCTGTGGTTCTTGAAAAAGATCCAGTTGTTGTATGCAAACCCTATGAGGCCAAGCTGTTTTCTTTTTTTTCTATGTGACTACATGGGATGGCTGTTCTTTTCTGTGTCCATGCAGATCTCTTTCCATCCCCTAAGCTCCTGTGCAACCTTCCCATTCTCCAAAAAATGTCTTTTTCTATCTGAGGCCAGTTTATCGGCAGTGATGCTACCATGAGAAAATTCATCATGTCGCTGTTCATAAATTCACTGCTCAAATTTGTAAACTGTCACTGTTAGGCAACAGTGTTGTTGCAGTTTAGTTGAGAAGTCTTAAAGTCCTTCTTTCCACTGCTTTCTAAGCATATGGTATGTATCTATCATGTACAAAAACAGTAATTAGAAATTGTTTTTTTGTTTTTTTAGATGATGTTGAAGTACAAAGACAAGAAGTGGTACCAATTCTGACGATGCTCATCTATTACGTCTGTTTAATTTTGTCCTGATGGAAAAATCTTGTTTTTTCATTAATTTTGGCAGGACCATTGAAATCTAAAGGAGTATTCATCATTGGATACTGTTGTTTCCTAGCACAAATCACACACTGATTTACCTCAGTCGTGGCTTTAACTGAGGAGCTTTATATTTAAAAGAAACACTCGCAAACAAACTTGAGTGTTTCTTAGCTGTTGGTTAGCTGAGAGTTGGAACAGAGAAGGTTACTAGAACACGTGGAAAAGAGGGTAAAGGGAAAACTTAGTGTGAGATGGGCAGGGGCAATGCAGGGTCAATCCTGTGTTAATATTTCATATGCCAAAAGTTCTTGTGCTATTGTAATTGCTGCCAGTGTTATACCCTCCTGTGAGGAGAGGCAATAAATCAGGGGTCCGAGAGGTGGAATAAAGTTGTTTGTCTTGCTGGACAGTAGCTGACTTACGCTTATCCTCTCTACAACTCCCTGTATTTACCATTATTGTTGGAGAAGAGTTGAAGTTTGCTGTCACTTCTTTCATCGGAAAAGCTGGAAGCTTGGAAGATTTCATGTTGAAAATTGTATACATAGTTGACCTGTGCATAGTCTTTTCTTGGACCCCTGATCGAGTATTCTTGTATTCACATCATATTCTGTGAAGTGCAAAACCAGAGAATACACAATTTTTGCATTAAAAAAAGTCAAGTGAATAATATGACTGGAATGTGTCATGCTGAGAGTTTTCATTTGTGTTATGGCCGTGCAATGTGAAATGTGGTAACATCTTCATTGTGGTAAGACTACTTCAACTTCTGTTCAGTTACACATAATTTTTTGCCAAAAATAGTTATCGGTTCAGTTTTTATAACACTTAGAATTGGCTGTGGGTTCCATTCATGCTGTGAATTTTTATAAATGTTTAACAGAATGTATCTTTACAGCCATTAATTAAAATAGCTGAGATAGTTTTGCTCAAAACTTAAGTTCTAGATGCCCCCTTTAGTCCTTTACTATGAAATCAGATAATCTTGGACTCAGGTTTTCAAACAGTTTTACACTCCATGGAGGTGCTGATGCATGAATAATGGCAAGTATCTAATATTTAATAATTGCCAGTATCTTAGCAAATTTCTAAATCCTGCTAGTAGAGCTATTTCAGAAGTACCTATCTCAGCCCCACCCAGCACTAAAGGCAGTTTGGATTTAGTCTCTAAAGCTGCTGTTTTCCGATGTGGGCAGTGGTAAGTGTCACTAAAGAAAGCTTCAGGAATTGCTGAAATAATGTTCAGTTTGGGTGAGATAAATGAAATAGCTGAGCTAACTTGTTAAAGGCTGCCGCACTAAAGGATTCCTTAAAATAAATGTTGGCATTTCAAAGATTAGTTTTGACTTTTTTTCCTCAAAGCAGGAGTAGTAACTGATTGGTTTTCTTTTATAAAAGGGAGTACTTAGAAGCTGATAGGTCTACATTGTCTGAAATTAATCATTTGAGCTTGCTTCTCCAAGTATCTCATCCTGTGTGATTTTTTTTTTTTTTGATACACTTTCCAAATGTTCCCAAAGCAAAACCTTGGTTATATTTGTATTGTAAAGTGATGTTGCAGAGATGTTGCGTAGATAAGGCAACCTTACAAAACACTTAAAGGATACAAAATATTAAAGTTCCTAGTGGTTCTTAACTCATTTTTCAAGTGAAGGGCAAATATGTTTGGGCTTTGTAGCACAAATTGATGTTTTTTCTGATTTCGTGTATAGTAACATCGAATTTAAAAAGTGAATTCTGTTGCCAATATAAGGGCAGGCCAAAGAACAAAGTTCTCTTCCAAAGAACTTGACAAGTGAGAACATGACAGATTGAACAAGCAGCATCATGATTTCTTGGTGGCTCTGTCCCATACCTACAGAGGCAGTGATAGCTCCAGTTACTTAACTCAGCTTGCCACGCAGTTTTTGCCTCTGTATGTTAATTAAATTCTTTTTTAGTGTCTAATTAATGCATATTTAACACCATTTTGTTTAAAATCTGGATAGAAGAAATCCATATCATTTCCAAAAATCAAATACCCTATCTGACACTTGTCCCCTTCCTTATCTTACATTCGTAAATTGAGATGACTGATTATTATTTCAAGTGGTGAAGTGGAACTACATTTCAGAGCAACAGAATCCTGGAAAATTAGTCTGGTCAGGCTCTGTTAGAGAAGATGACAAAAGTACTCTTCAGCAAATCGTGGTATCAGTTCAATGGAAGATGAATGACTTTAAAGCGTACTTACCTTTCCCATCAAGAAACATTTGATAACCACCAGCAAGTTTAAAAAAAAAAATAAGAGGCAATGAGAGACCATCTGCCAGTACAAGAAGAGTAGTGGCTTATTTGGTATTATAGAATTATCTTTTTTCTGTTGCATATATTCAGAGCATGCTTCGAGATTTGAAAACTAATGAAATGATTGCTCATGAGATGAATACACAGATGGTTCTTGGTCAATAAATGGGGCCATGTACAATTTTAGTCTAAAATGTTCCCTTTTCCTTCTCTGTGGAAGGAAGTTGATCATACACACATCATTGCATCTTATTCTGCTATTGGTGGTGCACCTTTTCTACAGCAAAGTCTATTGAAATTCTTGGGGGGCAAGCACCCCGTTTTTTTTCACTAGCATTTTAGTTGTGTGAATCTTTTTTAGAGTGTTTGGAAAACTATAAAATACAATAGAGCTATTACTTTTTCTTATTTTTCTGATGGAAGTGTAAGAAACTGCTGCTACCTATCTGTTTATATGTAGTCTCTCTCATTAGGAACTGTCAATTGAAGAAGCTTTTCTTCACCTTAGTCCTGCCAAATTGTAACTTTGAATGTTGATATGTGTAAATATGCGTGTATTCCAAATAAGTCTGAAAGTGTTACACCACAGGCATCTCCAGTGATTTGTTCTTCGGCAAAGTCAGTTATAAAATATAGTAATATATAGCTGTGTTCCTTGTCTGTCTTTATGCAAAGATTTTTGCCTGAGGTGGTACTTGCATGGCAGGTGATATTGGAAAGCTACATCCAAAGGAGGATTTTTGGAAGCAAGTTAATTTCCTTTTTTCCTTTTTGTTTTCCTTTTCTCTTTTCCTTTTTTTTTTTTTTTGCTTTATTAATGGCACTGATCTTACCTGAACTTTTAAACTTGAATTTCTCCTGCACTTTAATTCAATCATGGATTTTATTCCTTAATTTTGTTTCTATATTTGTGCAGTTCAGGTTCATTATTTGTATATAAACACACACATTCAATAAAGACTTTAGAACAGATTACTTTTGGGCACATTTGCTAATTATGTGACTATCATTTAGAATGTGTGTTTTCTTAGCAAAATATGTATATACAAGTATATACAATATAGAATCTAACGAAAGGCACTTATCCTGTGTCAGCATTGAGTTTATAAATTACTGCAACACTTTCAGATTTGTTACTAGATAATACAATGAAACCTGTTATATTTATACATACTGCTTAAGAATATACTTTTAGTTTTAAATAATTTTTATATGTACACTTCTACCTTTAATTTTAAAAAGACTTATGTTCAATTTTTAAGTCTAAGTACTTAAAGTATGTATATTATCCATAGAAGAAGTTGTTTTAAGCTTATGAATACATTCATATCTCATATCGAGATGATACAATTACTAAGCAATGAAAACAAATAGCCCATTTTGCTTTGCAGAAAATAATCATACTTATTTTTACCTCCCTTTTGAAACAAATAATTCCCTAAGTATGGAGAGGGAAGATAGTGCATTCAGAAAACTAACCTAATGTAAAAGTTTTCTCAGCTGCAGTCTGTGGCTGACTAGTTTTCTATGATTTCTTTTTTTTTTTTTTTTTAGGTATACACAAGAAAGGCTTTTTTCTGCTCTATTCCTTGGACTCTTGAAATTCCCTAAAACCGAAGTGGGGTTTGTCCAATAAATATTTTCTTTGAGTAATGTATATGAATCTTGATTATACATCATCTCTTCTCATGTAAATCAGGGGTTTTTTTGTATACTGAATGCATGTTGAAAAACTTACAGCCTGTGGCTGAAGTGCCCTCTTCTTTCTCATCATGGTTAAATGTACCCAGGTGGGTATTGAGAGCAGCTGAAGGTTGTGGGGGAGGAAGGAGCACAAAGCCTGGTGGCCCTCCCCTCTCCAAGTTGCAAGGTAACTTGTTGGTTGAACCTTTTCTTCATTCTAGCCAATTTCTTGTATTAATTTACATGAATCTTTTCTGGTGGATGTTGAGAGCTTTGCTACTACCACAAAATCTTCAAATACTTTGTAGACAAAACTAAATGATGTTTGAGAGGAGGAAGTAAAATAGAAAAAAAAATGTGTAGTGTAGGCGAATCAGCTAAACCAATTTTATTTCAGTTTTCATTGAAAAAGTAAGTTAAGCTGGGCCAATTTCTCCTCCTTATGCATGTTACAGAGATGTGCTGGATATCATCTACTTCATTACTGTGTCGAGCTAGAGGAGTGTACTGTGGTTTGGGGTTCTTTTACACTTTATAAAGTTTAGGCTTAAAGATGGGGGCATTCATTTAAAAAAAAAAAGAAAAAATAGAAAATGAGACAAACATAGAACAATCAAATGAAAGAAAGGTGTCAATCAGTATTCCTTTTAGTTTTTCCGTGTAAAGCGCCTAGAAATGTTTAAGCCATACAGCTGTAGGTTCCTTTGACACTTGTATTTGTTTCTGTTAGTACCTCAGTTACATATTACCAGGCAACTAATAACTAGAAGTTAAACTGTTTCAGTTGAAAACATGTAAGGAGTTGTATGTGGATTACCACTACCATTCAGTAACAGGTGATGCAAAGGGAGAGGGGTGGGAACATGTTTTAAATATTCCCTTTTAAAACGGAATTGTAAATAAGCAGTACTGTGTTATTTTAGACCTGAGCTCTGCTATCTGTAGTGGTTAGAACTAGGAAAACATGCTGCTTTCTAGTTATGCTACTGTTTCATTGTACCAGCACCATGGGGGAAAATAAAAAAACATCAGTAAATTTTTCTAACATTGCCCACTTGTGGGTGAGCATGCTTGATGTGTAGCAGTTCTCGTTTACGTATATCTTAGTGTGTACATGTGTGTTTTCTTTTTTCTTTTTGTTCATTGCAACTTCTTCTTCAGTTAAGTCTTGCTGAGCCCCACTAGCTCTTCTGAGGGTGATTACTGGAATATGCATTTTTAGGTAGGGTTGCAAATCCATCTGTCTACAAATATAGTTTCATATGAACTGCAAACTGTACTGTTACAAACACAACTATGTTAGATTGCATAGAGTTATTTTACTTACATGTACTTGAACTGAACTATGTCATCATAACAAAGTTAAATTAAGTATGGAATATTTTTGTAAATAAAAATACCTGTGCAGCTGGTATTTTAAATTGAAAATGTATTATACATTAATGTTTCAGAAAAAATGTTCATATATGTGTATATGAATGTGTCATTATGCTGAAGGGCTCTGATTGGGCAAAATAAACTATTCAAATCTCTCCTGAAATGAGTGGAGCTTACTCCTTTTCTTCCTAAGCAGTCCTTTTCTTGCTGGCTGGAGCATGTGGTGACTCTTTGCCAAATGGGGCTGTTTTGTTTTCTTTTGTTTAAGGTTTTGTGAGACGTGCTTTATAACAAGGGGAGTGCTATGGCAGCAGCAGCCAGGCCCAGGGTGAGGTGCCCCGAAGGAGCACAAAAGGTGAAATGGTTTGTCTGGTGATGTTCCTGAGCAGGTCTAAAAGCATTCTGAGGTGCACATCTTGATGGTGCCAATGTGAGGTCCTGTTATCCTTTTCAGCTCTCAGAAAAGTCAAGGTCACTCGTATTACAAAGACACAGTAAAGAGGAATATTTTCTGTAGCTGTGTTTTGACGATGTTCATTGATGTAAGAATCCAAGGTGCATGGGGAGAAGACAAGGTGATTTTTTCTTTCCTTTGTCATATTTACAGCACATCAAATGTATTTTCTTTGGTTGTGGCTCAGCTCTGCCACAGACCAATTTCTAGCTTGCAGCTAATTACATTTTCTGTCTAAGGCTGTTGTGGGGGGGGGGGCGGGGGAACCAAAACACCACACCTTTGTAAACGTGCTTGGAGGGGAAAAAAACCAAAACACCACACCTTTGTAAACGTGCTTTGAATGATGCAAAAATACCTTGGAAAGAGGCTGGAGTGGTAATTCTGCTGAATGATGCAAAAATACAGACCTTGGAAAGAGGCTGGAGTGGTAATTCTGAGAAGCGAAATTGGTGTACCTCAGTGAAGTGTTTGGAATCTCATCAGCTCAAATAGTAAAATACTTCAGTGCTGGTTATTTTAGTGTGTGATTGATACAGTGAAGGTGCAGTTTCATCTGTGGGAAAAGTCAGCTGGTTCCAGAACTCTCCTGCCTTCCTGGTTTTGTTCTAGTACGTGGTGGCTATGTATCACATGCTGCTCTGTGGCACATGGAGTTATTCAAATTATCCTATTTATAAAAGATTGTTTTTAACTTGAATTCAGTCCAATTAAATTGAAGGTATTCAGGGATGTCATCCTGCTTCCAGCTGCTCGCTAGCTCTGGTAATCTCTGCCATCACCAGTAGCGTGGCAAGAACAGCTCTCTCCCTGGGGGGACTGCATGGCTGCACGTAGCACCAGGGGCTGACAAGAGGAGGGGATTCTCTGACTGAGGTCACAAAGTGAAGGGCTTCAATTTAGTGAAAGCCAGGATTTGATGAGACCTACATAAAACTTGATCCTCTTGCACATTGTGTTACAACACTTCCAGTGCCAATGTACTGTAAATTAAATGCGTCTAAGACCTACATACAGAGGATGTTATGCCCGTTAATATTAAACTGTGCCACCCTCCCAAAGTTTTCCTTACCCAGATTCTTTCCTGGGAATGGTTCCTGGCCAGCTCTGCCTGGGAGGAGGCTGGGAAGCACCATAAGGATGTGGCAGTGGGCAACCAAGGTCCAGGACAGGCACTGTAAATCAGGCAGTGCTGAGGACTGACTACAGACCTAAGGACCAGGCTCAGGTCCCAGCTTTCAGAGGCAATCTTTTCTTCCAGGCTGGGTCACCAAATCAGTTTCTCCTTGTTGCCAGCTGGATGTCAGGGGTGGTGACATCCTAGCCCTAATCTCGCTTGCTCCCTCTTCTTGCCCTGGTGCACCTGGGCTTCTCCCTTGGCCATGGGTCTGCCAAGCATGGAGCATTGGCTGTTTCCTCTTAGGAGAAAAGGTAGCAGCCTTGCTGGAGGCATCCCAGTCTGGCCTAAGGAAATAGAATGTTTTCCCCACAGTCCTGCACTGAGATAAACCCATGAGAGCAGAATGTCAGCAAACACCAGCTTCTCACCTAGGTTTCTGGCTGATTTTTCATAACATGTAATTAATGCTCCCTTAGTAAGGGCTTGGGGGCTTGCATATGTAACTCATTATAGTGGCAGAGCTCTGCTCAGTTGCTGTAGCAAACAGTTTTCTGCATTTTTCAGCCACAGGAGACAGCCTGGGCTGAGGTTTGTGCGTGGGCTGTTTGGGAGGGAGGGTGGAAGCCATACCCTCTGGCTGGCCAATACCTTGGGAGCTCTCCTTTAGCCTCAAACACTGATTTAGAGCTGTTTGATTCCAAAACTACTCAGAAGGGGTGATGGAGGACTGTAGCAAAGCCACAGTCAAAAAAAAATGGGAAGGCTGATGTTCTGGTTTGGAGCAGATAACAGCATTTCTGTATCTTGCTGCAGTCACAGTGTGAGCAGGGCTTCAGAGAGAGTTGATCATTTGAAGGGGTTTGCAATCAAAATGTCAGACTGTGCTCCTGTTTTGATAAGTTTACCAACTCTTCTACCTAATTAAGCAGACATAATGAGAAATTTTATATAACTCTGATTTCTGTGGTGCAAGAGACTCCTGGGAAGAATAACATGGAATGCAGTCTCCTGAGTGGGAGTAAGCAGAAAACAATTTCAAGCTGGTATCTCCTAATTCTCTTGGGCACCTGCAAGTCTCTTAGCACCACCTCAGTAACTACCTTTTATCTGAATGTCAGTGTGTCACCTACTGACTATGGTGCTTTTTCTTCTGGGATGTTGAAGCTCCTAGCACAGTGGGCCAGGAACTCAGAGAGAACTCAGAGAGGCTTCTTTTTATTAGAGTTGCTGTCTCTAGACTGAGTATGCACATGCCTGTCATTCAAGATGTGTATCACAACGTACTGCTAGTTAATATAACAGAGGACTGGGTTTGTTTAAAATCCATCCCCTGTGAAAGGGGTAGACAAAAATTAATAATTAAAAAAAAAAAGGACTAATCAAGGTCATTGTATCAGTTTTTCCTCTCTAATATGCTCAAGTTCAGAGTCAATTCTAGCTGTGAATTTAGGAGGCCCCAATATTCATCTACTTTCCATTTTGTCTTTAAACACGGCAATTTCTGGTTGGTGTTTTTTTTCCAGCATCTCATGAAAGAAGTCCGTGAAGCAACTGGGAAGACAGAAATAAATTCTTTTATTCTATTGTTTCAATTAAACCCTCTTAGAAAGATTCCCTTTTTTTTTTTTTTTTTTGCATATTTTAAAATGTAATTTGTTGCCAGAGCAGGATCTGTGGAAGCTGCACTGACCTCTAGAGCTTCCTTCTCGTTGCAAAAGGCTATTAGCTTGGCTCTAAACATCTAACTAGCAACTGCTTGGGGTGGTTCTGGAAGCAGCTGCTGCTTCTCCAGTAGTCTAGTCGTGCTGCATGCACCCACTTTGGCAAGTAGCTTGTGGGCTGTAGTCACCAATGCAAACTTTCTCTTCTTGAGGTTGAAGGAGAACTGAGAAATATTGAAGTGTTGCTGGATAGGAGGTTCTGATACCGCTATCACGACTGCTGGGATGTATTTAGCAGATTATGCCCTAAGGGACAAGCAAAAATCTCTCCCTGTGCACTCTGCCTCAGGACTCGTACGGTGTCAGAACAGGGGATTGTGGCATCCGAGGCCTTTCACAGGCTCATTGTACTTCAGTCCTGGGAGTGTGAAGGGCTGTCAGTCCGAAGCGGATGCATCCTTTAACTGAGGGCTCTAATCCGGAGCTTCAAGCAAAGAATAGATGTGGTCTTCCAAAATATAAACAGTGACAGGGATTAGTCATGTACCACATCCTGGAGAGCCAATTTCAAGCCTGAAAACCCTGGTCCTTGTGATTTAACCCGCAGAAAAGGTAAAGCTGATGTGAATTAATTTAATGGCTGTTTGCCATAGCCCTCCAGCGGACTGACAGCAAGAAATAGCCTAAAATTTCTCCTGTAGCTGTTGAAAGGAATTTGTTTACATTTGTATTATGAAGGTTGTGATTGACTCTCGGTCAGAGTGTGAGCTGTGTATATTGCTATATCGTTGAGGGCCCTATTCACAGTCTACTACCTTATTTTTGCAGGTACTGTAAAAACATGGAAAAAAAATTGTTGATCCGAGCCCGGCCCTGTCAGCTTCAGCCTGGTAAAAGAAGGACTGATACAGGTTGGAGAGACAAGGGGGCAGAAAGAGGGAGACAAGGTCTGGCTGAGCTGGTTGGCACAACACTGCTTCCCGTCACATTTTTGCAACTATTGTGGCAAAGGAAAGCTTTTAAGGATGCATTTAAAATGAGAAAAAGTGGCTGTTTGGGTGTTTACAGGGAGCTGCTCCCTGACACAAACAACAGCATGGAAAAAGTGAGGTTGGGACTATTTGAAAAATGTAAGTGGGATTGATAGCTGGGCATAGTTCACCAATCATGGGAGATCTGGCGTCTCACTACAGGAGCAATGATAGCTCTGGAGGGGACAGGGTGCTGAGAAGGCAATAAATGTGGAGACAAACTGCTGGCGTTTGCTGCTGTCAAGAAGGGGGGGAGCAAAGGGAAGGCAGCACGGGGGGAGACAACAAGCCTGACACAGCAGGCTTCAAAATGGTCTTTGCAGCTGTCTTCTGCAGGATGGCATTTGTCACAGCCAGAGGAAAGGATCTAAAAGAGCACTGATGTGAAGCTTTGTCATTAGACATATATGACAGGCCTTGCTGTAGAAGTGATGCTCCAAAAAGGGCCTGTGAGGCAGTAGGCAGCCCCATCGCAGGTGCCTGGGGAGAGTAGCTGGAAACGATGCCTGAGGAGACACCTGCTTGGCCAAACAGAGGCCCCACATTATCCCAGGCATCACTTTGCATAAAGACAACACCAGATATAGGCCACACATTTCCAAACACAGTCACATGTGGAGCAACACTGCAGCGAGGGACAGTCCAGGAGTGACAGGCCCCAAATTTGTCTGGCAGACAGGGCGAGGAGAGCAGTGACCACAGGGCTCCTCTGCTGGCAGCGAGGAAACTAAGAGCAAAAGTCTGATGATGCTGCCTCTTCCCCAGCATCCAGACCAGCATGTCTGTCTGCCTCAAAGTGATAAAAGTGGGCTTCTTGCCCTTCACAGTTGGTAGGACGTGACTCAGAGACCCCTCATGCAGCCCTGCTGACACCAGGGCTTTGACCCCCGGGGTTTT